CGGCCACAAGGCCACAGAATAAAGATCACTTAGATCAGTACCAGAAGGGCCACTCAGCGGTGCAACGTGTCGCCATTTTTCTATGCAAAAATATGCAGTTGACTGGCCAGAAGGCGGGGCCTTCAGCCAATACAGCGCGTTTATTGGCCAGAAAATGTAATTGACTGGGTAGGAAGATGGTGGCCAGTGTGACAGAAACTTCAAAGCTTCCGACGTAAGTGGCCCTTCTGTGTGCCTTATTCTGTGACAAGGCCTCAGGTGCCTCAGTACTGTAAAGTCAAAGACTCAAAGCACTGATATAGATTCTAGTCAAGGTGATATACCAAGGGCAGGTGATATCCCAACAGAGGGGGGGGGTTCCATTACTCAGGGACCAACTTTAATTTGGATAAATATTCAGACTTGCCACAGGTCAACTTCCCTAATTTGACTTTTTTGATAATTAATTTTCTAGTACATCTATACATCTCTTCCCTTTTTCGCTTCTGTCTAACCCCTCAAAAAAGAAAGCTGACTTTGCGGCGCAAGTCTATACATCACTGGCTAAACGTGTGGTGGCATAGGCCCTCGAATCGAATTAAACCTGCGGTCCTGCAAATCAGGTGCAGCGTTTGTGCTTGTGCAGCGCTCTAACCAGCTACATATATAGTTCAGCTGGCGAGCATTAAACAGTGTGGAACTGGTATACATACCTAATTTCCAGCCTAGACCTAGGCCTTCTATTTTTATTTATATATTTTTTTAATATTCAGCGCTTTTTCACATGAAAAGACTGGGAATAGGTGATTTGGGGGCGGGGCGAAGGAAGGACGCAACCCCAGTCTTTTCATATGAAAAAGCGCCAGTGTGACTAGATTTGGTAATTTTAATTACTTTTGGTAATATTTTGTGATTTTTCTAACTTTTTTGGTAATTGAAAATTTTTGGTAATTTTTTTAGTAATTTCTCTTACTAAAGTTAGAAATATTTTGGTTATTGCATGATATTCAACCAAATACGCCATAATGACACAACCTGTTATTCAAAATTTCAATGAGAACAGTTGCAGGTCCATGTCTGCAAAGCTGTACATCCAAATTACAAGCTGCTGGCCCAAGCTGTCCACCTGGATCGACGGAATCGGGCCCAGACCTTCCAAGTCACACGATTTAATCGTGAGACTCACGATTTTTTATGCGTTCTCACGATCTCACGATTATGATATGAAATCATCGAAGAGCGCAACATTTATATACAATAAGGTACACTCTTCCAAGGAAACGTCACACTTCATTAGTGTATTAATAATGCGCCTCTGACTGATGTACAACGCCAGAATTTTGTATGCGTGATGTTTGTGTTACAAAGTAAAAGCTGGCGTGTCCTGCTAAGTTTATTGTCCCGTTAGTCCTAATATTACTCGTAGTTTTCTTGTACAGTGGAAACTACTAAAGCCATAAAGGAAAAACAGCCTGTTTTTAATCAAAAGGTTGCCGGTTCTTTAATAGTAAGCCTTGCATTTACGGTTATATTAACAAAATATAAATACATACTATCATAAAATTGAATATCTATTGATTATTTTCTTGTGTTGTTAAAGTTAATATAACCCTGGTCATATTAATGAGCAAACCTGAAAATTTCCAAGTCTCACGATTTTTCAGTCAATCTCACGACTTTTTAGATAGCAACTCACTATTTCTGCTACTCAAGGGTTGGCAGGTCTTGTCAATCCTGCTGATCACCATTCACCCAGACCCGATCATCTCAACCATTCAACTTGGATTGTTGTGTCGTTGACTGTCTGCGGCATGACCACTCAACTTGGATGGTTATGCCGTTGACAGCCGGTCTTCGGCATAACCATTCAAACATATTGAACGGCATAATCATCTAAGTTGAATGGTTATGATCATCTCAACCATTCAACTTGGATTGTTGTGTCGTTGACTGTCTGCGGCATGACCACTCAACTTGGATGGTTATGCCGTTGACAGCCGGTCTTCGGCATAACCATTCAAACATATTGAACGGCATAATCATCTAAGTTGAATGGTTATGCCGAATATATTCCACTGCATGCATAAACATCTAAGTTGAATGGTTATGTCGTTGACTGTCTTCGTCGCGGGCTTACTCATTCAACTTGGATTGTTGTGCCGTTGACTGTCTGCGGCATAACCACTCAACTTGGATGGTTATGCCGTTGACAGTCGTCGGCATAACCATTCAAACATATTCAACAGAACAAACATCTAAGTTGAATGTTTATCAAGAGCAAGAAATATTTATATATAGTTAATCGATAATTTTTTTTAATTAACGAAATTTCAAAACTTTCTGCCAAAAAATTGAAAACCTTTCTAGCAATCAAAAAATTAATTATTGACTGTCTTCGGCATAACCATTCAAGCATATTGAACGGCATAAACATCTAAGTTGAATGTTTATGCCGAACATATTCAACGGCATAAACGTAACATCGATCTACGTTGAATGGTTATGCCGTTGACTGTCGACTTCGGCATAATCATTGGTTGGTTATGCCGTTGATTGGGTTCGGCATAACCATTCAAACATATTCAATTGCGGCATAAACATCTAAGTTGATATTCAACGGCATAAACGTAACATCGATCTACGTTGAATGGTTATGCCGTTGACTGTCGGCTTCGGCATAATCATTGGTTTGGTTATGCCGTTGATTGGGTTCGGCATAACCATTCAAACATATTCAATTGCGGCATAAACATCTAAGTTGAATGGTTATGTCGTTGACTGTCTTCGGCATAACCATTCAAACTAGTGAATGGTTATGCCATTGACTGTCTTTGGTATAAGCCATCTAAGTTGAATGGTTATGATTGTTGACTGTCTTCGGCATAACCATTCAAACATATTCAATTGCATAAACATCTAAGTTGAATGGTTATGTTATATTCAACGGCATAAACATCTAAGTTGAATGGTTATGCGTTGACTGTCTTCGGCATAACCATTCAGACATATTCAACGGCATAAACATCTAAGTTGAATGTTTATGCCGAACATATTCAACGGCATAAGCATCTAAGTTGAATGGTTATGCCGTTGACTGTCTTCGGCTTAACCATTCAACTTGGATTGTTGTGGCGTTGACTGTCTGCGGCATAACCACTCAATTTGGATGGTTATGCCGTTGACTCTCTTCAGCATAACCATTCAAACATATTCAACAGAATAAACATTTAAGTTGAATGTTTATGCCGAACATATTCAACGGCTAAACTGACAGTGGCGGAAATTCACTTTTTCCGGGGGAGGGGGGCAAAGCCTCCTAAATTTCCGACAAAACTTTCAAATTTCCGACAAACCCCCGCATTTGCACTCGAAAAGGCTATTTTTAGCCTTCTTTTAGGTCAACATTTCCGAAAATTCGTCATTTTCGCATTTTCGTCATTTTCGTTACTGCATAAACATCTAAGTTGAATGTTTATCCCGAACATACGTTGAATGGTTATGGCGAAGACAGTTTTTAACCTTTTTGTTAATTTTTATCGATAATTTTTTTTTACGAAATTTCAAAAATAATTATTGTCTGTCTTCGGCATAACCATTCAAACATATTGAACGGCATAAACATCTAAGTTGAATGTTTATGCCGAATATATTCAACTGCATAAACACTAAGTTGAATGGTTATGTCGTTGGCTGTCTTCATAACCATTGAATTTGGATTGTTGTGCCGTTGACTCAGTGTCTGCGGCATAACCACTCAACTTGGATGATTATGCCGTTGACTGTCATCGGCATAAGTGCATAACCATTCAAACATATTCAACAGAATAAACATTTAAGTTGAATGTTTATGCCGAACATATTCAACGGCATAAACATCTAAGTTGAAAGTTTATCCCGAACACAAGTTGAATGGTTATGGCGAAGACAGTTTTTAACCTTTTTGTTAATTTTGATCGATAATTTTTTTAACGAAATTTCAAAACTTTCTGCCAAAAAAATTGAAAATCCTTTCCAGCAATCAATAAATTAATTATTGACTGTCTTCGGCATAACCATTCAAGCATATCCAACGGCATATAAACCAGGGTTTATTTTAAGAAAAAATTAGAACTGCACATATAGGGATGTTACGAAGGTAACGACTGGAGGGGGGGTCGAAGGATTTTTTACCTGCATCTATGTGACAGAATAATGGTGTGGTTGGGTGAGAGAATTGGAGAAAGGCCAGACAAACTCGATTTTGGGGGGTGTTCCCCAAAACAATTTGAATCTAGAGGCTCTTAAGTTCTGGCAAAGATTTGTTTACCCAACCACTCACAAAAACTGTTTCAAAACATGTAACTGGAAATCATACGGGATATTCAATATATAACAACCTTAAATTTGCATTTGAGGCAACAAAGAATATTAGGTTCTCCCACTCTAATCTCTTTTGGGGAGCTTTGCTCGTCCCAATTTTACTGTCTTTTCCATTACCCCAGCACGTAAGTGATTTGTGAAGAGAATAGGATGGTCTGGAGTCCTCCCCCAGAAAACGTTTATATTTTTCATGCTCAATTAATGACAGCATTTCTGGAATTTTCTGGAGCATCCACAAGGGTAACGAATAAATGAGAAGACTGTTTTAATTAAGACTATTCTTGTTAGTTTGGTGACTGCACATTGGTGTTTTAAGAACTGCACAAATGGGTTTAGAACTGCACATTTTGTGTAGAACTGCACGTTAAAATAAACCCTGGCATAAACATCTAAGTTGAATGTTTTATGCCGAACATATTCAACGGCATAAACATCTAAGTTGAATGGTTATGTCGTTGACTGTCTTTGGTATAACCATTGGATGGTTATGGCGTTGAGTGTCTTCGGCACTGTAACCATCCAAACATTTTCAACGGCATAAACATCTAAGTTGAATGTTTTATGCCGAACATATTCAACGGCATAAACATCTAAGTTGAATGGTTATGTCGTTGACTGTCTTTGGTATAACCATTGGATGGTTATGGCGTTGAGTGTCTTCGGCACTGTAACCATCCAAACATTTTCAACTGCGCAGTAAACATCTAAGTTGAATGGTTATGTCGTTGACTGTCTTCGGCATAACCATTGAAATATATTCAACGGCATAAACTGATAAACGGCATCTAAGCGGTTGTATGTTTATGCCGAATATTATTAATCCACACGGTGTCATTTCCGTAGTGTTTCAGGGCTGTAGGAAACTCTTTATGATTGGGGGGCTGAAAGCGAGGGCCGAAGGCCCGAGGAAATTTTTAAATCTAGAGTCTCTGAAATGCCATTTCCTGGACTTTGGGAAAGATTTTGACAGAATTCTGATGGTCAGAAAATAGCGTTTTAGTATTTCGAAATTTACAATTTGGTAGTACTAAATGGGCGAAGGCATATTGGATAACTAGGATAAATTGCAGGAAACTGTGGGTAATATATTCATTCTTTGCAGTTTGTCATGGATAATGTGCTGCTTAAAATTAATAAAGCTTAAAATTGATAAAGGTCTGCATTATTTTGAAAAAGAATGATTATTAGCAAATTCCCCCAGCCCCCTCCCCCGTTGCTACGGCCCAGCTGCATTTTCATGCTTTCACACAAAAACGGATAAAAACAAGGTCAAGGAAATGTTTTCCTACGGACTGGTGAACAGAGCATCAAACGAATTTCTAGTGGCTTCTGTGTTAAAGATGACGAGATAGTTGATAGATTCTAGACCTTTTTACCATTCTTGATCCAAATATTTCCAAATTCTATAAAATTATATTGGTGATTTTTCACTGATTATTTTTATGACCCCCTCCATTTATACCAAAACTATCAAAAGACCCACCCCTTTGAAGCATGTCAAAATTGGCTGACCCACCCCCAAATTCCTCCGGCCCACCCCCCGCCCCAGCTAAAAAATGAATGCTCCCTTAGTATTAGGGTTAGTGTTTAGTTTTGCGTTAGGATAGTTTTTTCTACGTTATAAAAACGGAAACCTTATTTTGAAGTATACTATCTAGCAATCACCCTCTCAACTTGGATGGTTATGCTGTTGAATGTCTTCGGCATAACCATTCAAACATTTTCAACGTCATAAACATCTATAAAGCAGTTTGAAGGTACTATAACATGAAGTACTGTACGAATGTTCTGTCTGCCGCTGACATAATGCTTCAACCAACTTATTAACTTTTTTACGTTTACTTTTTTAATTAAAAAACTCCAATTTCTAACTGATTACGGCCAAAAACGTTCATCTTGTTACTCAAGAGCAAGAAATATTTATATATAGTTAAAATTAACCTTTCTTTAGGTTCACAATTTTGATAAAACGTTGAAATTTGGAAATTTTTTACTAGTTTCCAGGCCCAAACCGAGACATGTTTTGCGCGCATTATTATTGTGAACATGTGTGAAAAATATGTGTGAAGTGGTGTGAACGATCATTGTACGAACAAGAAAGAAGAAACGTAATTTTGTTGGATTGATATTGCTTATATGAATTCAAAGTAATAGTTGAATCGTTCACAATTTGTCATCAAAATGACTACTGGAGACGCAGGCAGTTCTGCAACCAGGGTTATTCAAGTGACCAATGTCGCCAAAACTGCAACATATGAACAACTGAAAGCATTTTTTGATTTTCTTGGTGGAATTGAAGAGATGAAAATCTATCCAACTCAGTAAGTAATAAATGCAGAATTATCTTTACTTGATAGTGCTTATTTGTCGATTATATCGGATGAGAGATTGAGAGAACTGCAGTTTGTTTGCATGTGGTGCAGTGCTAGTAGCCACAGAGTGGATACATACAGAGGTGTAACTGACCGTTGTAAACACTGCGGAAACTTACGTTTTCATGTACCCATTTTTTTCAGGCGACCGGGCAAAAAATGATCAACTGCTTGTGCTCGGCAAGTTCCGCTAGCAGTTTAAAGCGAGCCGCCATTCAATGGATGCATGCAACTTGCCGAGCATGCGCACAAAAAAGTGGGCACACTAGTTGGTAGTTATAACTCTGTATATATATCTACTCTGTGCTACAGCACAAATTTAAACCGTACAGTTTATACTGTTTTTCAAAATATAAGATATTCAAGCAAAAATTTAAATGTTTTATATACTGTTTTCTCAAAACAGAACATTTTGTGCTTTGAGATTTTTTATGCATAGTGCTTCAGCAGTTGACAAATATAGAGCTCAGCGCAAACATAAATTATAGCATCTGACCAAAGAGAATTTCGCGTCCCGATTCGAGACGCATATATTCCAGGGTCTGAAATTTGCGGTATCCCGATATCCACGGGATACTGAAATTTGGTTTTGGATACTAAGTTTATTTTACTTGTATCCCGATGGGATACCACATTTTTTTAAAAAACGGGATAGCAGTTAATGTTTTAGTAGTCTCCCCACATTTTTGTTCATTAAATAGTGCTGTAACACAAGTCTAGCATTCGTCTTAACGTTGTATTTATGCATGTAGTCCACTCATGGTTCAATTCGCGAGTCGCCATTTTGAATAGTGTTTCCACATTGAAACAACTGTCCAGACTTCATTGAAAAGAATCTTTTTGAAATCAAGAAAAGTCTAGCCTGCGTAGCAGGCGGTATTCGCGGGCACGTGAAGAAAAGTCAAGAAGATTGTAAGGAAATTTGAAGGTCGATAGTTAGCAAAAAAGAAATACATTTTTTTTGCTGCCGTCATGAACTAAAATACTCATAAATAATCCATGCTTTCTTGTGATATTATGTAAAAAATATTTAATTAAAACCACCAAAACTCCTGATGCAGGCAATGGTCTTCATGATAATACAGCCAATGATGATGATAATGACGCTGTAGTTCCCATTTGAGTGCATACTGATAGCATTAAAAATCAGAGAAGTTGACACTTAGACTTTAATCTATAATTAAATAACCCTGTTAACTGTTAAGAAATTGAATATTTGAACTGTATAAGTTCCTTTTAGGATTCTAGTATATTAAACATAAAATGCGATGGACGAAAATGCTTGACGTAGTTGACTAAGAGTAAGCCTTAGAGTGATGTTGGGTCTGGCCCTGTGGGATACGAAAAGCCAACTAGTTAAGTATCCAGATTTAGGATACTGGATTATTGGGAGGGATACCAAATTTTAAAACCTTGGTATCCATGTGGATACTTAAAAAAAAATCAAATTTCAGACCCTGTATTCCAAATTGTATGCCATCAGTCCAGGCTCTCATTTCACCTTGAGAGCCTGCTCGCAGGCTATTGATGATAAGTATAAGATTCATCATTTGTCAAGGGTGGGTTAACTACAAAATTTTTGTAGTTCGCTATAACTATAGCTACTTCAAAAATATGTAGTCAGCTACAACTACTGCTACTTTTGAACAAAGGTAGTTCGCTACTAACTACAGCTACTGCTTAAAAAATGTAGCAAACTATTTCGCTATTACGCTAATCTATATTTTTTAGTTTTACTGTATTTGGAGCATCTACTATTAAAGCAACATGTTTGTAAGCACAGGAGTGCAAATTGACTATTGAGTATTGATTTTAAGCAGACCGTGTCTCAATATCATCATGCCATTCTATCAAGTTGCTAACAATTTTAAAAAGTAGCGAATAGCGATTCGCCGTTTGAAAAGTAGCCAACTACTTGGCTACTTTTAGGCAAAATATAGTTCGCTATAACTACAGCTACTGTTTTAAAAAAGTAGTGAAAAACTACTGGCTACTTGAAAATTGTAGTTCGCTACAGTAGCGAACTACAATTACTTCGCTACTACCCACCCTTGTCATTTGTACACAATGCCCAGGGTGGAAAGTTTTATCCCGCAACTGAGATATTGGACGTGCAATTTTGATACTTTTTATATAAATTATTTACTATTAAGTTTTTTAAATCTTGGTCGTGCAATTTCCAAACTTTCTAGTTAGGCATGACACCACCAATCATGTGACACTTTGTTATATTTGTCAATGCCTCATTGTGACAGATGGAAAAGCGGTAACAAGATGAATAGTGTAACTCATAGTTAAATTATTCTATTAAAGATCTCTTTATTGTCATTCACAATCAATAATTTTGTCTGCCTGTATCTTTGCATGCCTCTGTGTTTGTTAACATTCAAGGTGAAATTTTGTTTGCTAGGCAAGCAGATAAGTTTGTATTGTACAACTGACCTTGGTTATGTAATTTGGTTTTTCTTCCAATTATATTTTTAAAAAATCATGCACAAATTTTCCAGTCAGACAGATAATCAAATAGAACACCTAAATACCCATTGATATATTTACCATAGTTAGGAGTGCTAGCTGGTTTAACTCATTGAGTGATAGCACTCTCTCCTTGATGTGTAAAATCATCTGCTGTGAGACAGAGTAAAAGAATGAAGTAGGGCACATTAGGGTGCATTGCCACTTAGGGTTGAATCATAGGCAGCCCAAAAATGCATGTAGAATGCACCAAATGTCAATTTATAAATACTAAATAAATAATATGAATGGGGCGAGCATACTTATAAATTGACCTTTGATGCATTCTACATGCCTTTTTGGGCTGCCCATGATTAAATGAATATTTTAGATTGTAAATTAATGGCAATAAATGGTACGTCAAACTCAATGAAAAAAGGTTTTTGATAGGTCACTATCACCTGAAATACTGATGAGAAACACATTTGTCAGGAGCAGAATGTGTTTGAAATTTGACCCAAGCCATGCTCTCCTGCTTATCATGTTGTTTACCTGCAGTTGGCTGAAGCCATGCAAGATTGTTTTCTCCATGCACCTAACTCACTAAATTGCTCCCAAGTTATTTGTTACAGGCCTTAAAATATCTTTTACGTGGCCGTCTGACAGAATGTCAGATGACTGTGAGTTTGGGTCGGACATATGTATGATGATGTCCGATGACCATCAGTTCAGTTTAGCTTGGAAATAAGTCTGAATGACACAAATAACAGCACAATGTTATTCTGAATGGTAAATGTTGTGTAGATATTAAATAATTTGTGTCATTCATACTTATTTCCAAGCCAAAGTTAACTTGCATGCCAATAACAACAGTAAGATGTCGACACTTAAATTCGTTTTCCACTCGACCATTTCACTCGCTACCGGCAACATTTTGATTTACGTTGGACAAAGCTACAGTTCGGTCGGACACCAATACACTCGGGTCGGGCAAAGAATTAAAACCTCAGTTTCACTTAGGTCGGACAGAATGTCCGGTGGTTTCCTCTGTACGTCGGACAATTTTACGAATGGGTCGGACAATGTCCGTGACCGACCGATATTTTAAGGCCTGTTTGTTATTGAAAGTACTGTAAGATGTTTTGAACTTCTTATGCGAATGTTTAATTTTGTACATATAAGTATATTCTTTATAGCTTCTATTTTTGGTTATTCTCAGCATGACCAGCATGCATGATCTTGCATGTTGGATACCAGTAGTGTAGGAAGCAATTGGCAAAGAATACAAATACACCTTTCCTGAATGCAAGTCACTTTGGATATAAAGCCTCCAACATCATGTCACCCACACTCCCTGACTCCCATCATTTGTCTTACCTGTGGTCTTACATCCCTGCCAGAATTACATGTACCCTACTACAACATAAATCTACACTAAAACATAAATCAACAGTAATGTCTAACATTAAATTAACATGGAATTCTGGTGTTGAAGTTTGTTGGGGGTGATAATTGACTTCATGTGGAGTTGCCTCTTTCTTTGTTGTTGATGACTTATTATAGTTGCAAACAGAGAGTTGTCACTGTCTACTTCATCGTCTGCACTTTGTAATTCTAGCATGGCTTGTCCCTATCCATGCCATTCTCAGTGTCTGTTGAAGAGTGGAAGTAAGGCGGACAAAGAAATGTGATTAATCCCCTCTTACAATAACTGAAGTATAGTAGCGCTCACCACAGTAAGTACTGCAACATGCAGCTTAGTTTTTGGCGCCCTCTGAAGTTGAGGGCCAGTATCCAGTTGCCCCTATCCCACTTGTTTCAATGGCCCTGGTTGCTGTAGGAACAGACATTCCAATAAAGGATTTTAAGATCATCCAAACGATTAATAAATTCCTTGATCCCTCCCTGTTTCTTGGCCACTTAACCATTCTCCTTATAATCATGTTTATTTCGTTGTCTTACTGGAGAGGTTTAGATTTGGACAACCATTAACCAATCAGATGCATTTAATCTGGTCGATTAAGCAGTGTGGTAGTGGAAGTTCATCTCTACTAATGACCGTTCTGATAGAGGATAACGCTACAGCCAATCTTTGTTCCCAGTGTATTTGAACTGAAACGCTAAACTTTCTAGCAAAGTTCAGGTACACCATGCCCGCAGTTTGTTAAGAAACTACACCTGCAGTAGTGTGCCAAATAGTCCGTTACATGTTACAGTCTCAGGTCACTATGTGGACGTATCAATTAACACAGAAATGTACATTTTTTCATTATCGTGACTCGTGAGGGTAGAGGGATGCAGTCTTCCAAAGCACATACTGTATGTCACCACTGTAATAGTCGAGTAAGAACTGAAAGCTGTCCGTTGACTGACAGTCAGGAACAGTTAAACATTTCCTTTGTAACATATTCTGACATGATTTCACCAGTCTCTTGTCTCCCTTTGGCAGGTGAACCAGAAATATCGTGATCTGACTCTGTTACTTGTATCGTTTAAGATTTCGAAGACTATCTTTGCTACACATATTTTGAAAAACAGCTCTCCGTTCACTTTGTTACAATCACGTGATAGTAGGACTAACAAACCATTGTCAATATTTAAGCTCGTCAACATGACGTCCAATGTCTTGTGGTTGACTCCCTGATACATTGTCTGTACATCCTCATCTAGCAGCTAAAAATATAATCCGCGTAGATTCTGGCCATATTCCCCTTAATGTTATACGCCTAACAGGACAGCTGCCAGGTGTCGCCGTTATTCTTCCAGGTCCGTGTTAAATCACAGGTTAAACTTCTCCAGTGCCCACATGATCCTAAGGCATTCCTTCTCACTGACTGTTAATACTTATGATGGACATAAGCGTACGGGGGTGATTTTTACATATTTATGAAAAATGTTTCCGAATTTTCTTGATTTCCCCTCACTTTTCTTGGTTTTCTAGGTTTTCTTGGTAGGGGCAGCTGGCCTCAATGACATGGCCTTGTTTGGTCAGTATACTGTAACTCCCAAATTTATATTAAAAATCTTGCCACCGTGAGGTGTCGCGATGTCAACAAGGTAGCAAACTTGGTAAAAGTTCCATGTTCCAAGCCGCATAAAGAAAACGACCACACCCATGCCAATCTCGTACCGAGGGATGCGATTGCACCCATGCCCCAATCTCTCAGGTCCTTTGTCAAGGGCCGCATCCTGGATCCATGTAAACCTTTAGATGCACGACTCTTTGCAAACAATCATAGAACATCCTGAAATTTTCACAAATCTAGTAAGCCGCGTAAATCCTTCTCACCACGGGTGTAACGTAAAACTTTATTTCAAAATCACACGCTAGCCCTGTTAACTATGAGCTGATTTCCACGAGGGGCGTGTGAAATCAGTGTGTACAGTATGGCACAAAGTGTTCGTTGTACTCGTATTTTCACAACACAACTTGTTTCCCAACTGAATCTTTACGTTGAGAGTGGGAAACAGAATTGCGGGATATGTGTACGATGGTAAAACGTTGCTGCTTGTTTATTTCCGTTATCTCTGGTCACACGCAGTGTTTATAGTGAACCATCAACTGTGTCTGACTCTGGCATATACTGCGATGGTACCCTAATTCCACAAACAGTTCTTACTTTGTTCTTTGATAACACACTCGCCTGAGCCCCAACGTTCAATAACCAAGTACATTTCTGGCCTTGTTTAATCTCGATCCAAGATTCTCGAGCAGCGGGTGAAATGAGCGGGCGCCAATTGCAACTAAATTTTCATCTGGCGACCAGATGTTTGCCAAAGATAACCCTCGTCAGGGCCGCCGAGAGAATCCGCGGGGCCCGGGGCAAATCTTCTCTGGGGGCCCCATGACATCATTATTTTTAAGCCAGACCCAAGCCAGTCACCCAAATAGACCTTAGCTAGACTACATGTGGAGTACTGTACATGTAAGGGGCCCTCAATTTCAAAAATTCTCTGACCAATTTAAAGAACCTACTCAATTTTAGGCTCCCGCTCTCATGTTGGGGCCCTATTAAGGTGGGGGCCCGGGATAATTTGCCCCCCCCGGCGGCCCTGATCCTCGTGGCAACTGAGAAAGAACATATTAAAATAATAATAAAATGAATTCTAAAGCCTTAAATATCTCAGTGATCAAATATTTCATTCTGCTTTTGCATATAATGTTCCTACATATTAAACAATTGGGTTTTTTTTATGCTATCTGTGTACATAGAGAATACTTCATAACACATTGGCATAGGGCGGTTTGATATTGAATTTGGCGTCCAAATCTTATTCACTGGTAGCTACCCTTGTTCCCAAGTTTCATTAAGCTACAGTGTGTCTTAGCTCTAATGGGTTAATCAGACTATCTACCCATGTGTCCAGTTAACCCATTAAATTGTAATGTGCTCCAATACACCATACTTTATTATTTTACTCTGTCTAACCCCAGACGAATTTACTCGTCAAGGGAAGAGCGCTGACTTTCAATGGGTTAATGGATTAACCAGACGTCTTTCCACATCTCTTGTTGAGCCTTTTACCAGCAGTTGCTAAGGGGAGAGTCATGGAATAGAAAAATAACATTAAAAGTGATTCTTAATAAGCAGATGAAACAACTGATGTGTGCAGAAAATGTACAGTATGGTGAAATGCCATTAATACTTTTCTTCTTCATTTCCAGGGATCTTACATCGTTTGGTGCTCAAGTTGTCTATATTAAATATCAAGATCCGTCCAGTGTTCTGGTTGCACAACATTTGACAAACACTGTGTTTATAGATAAGGCCCTGATTGTTGTACCAATTGGAGATGGTAACTTCATGAGAAACTTTATTTTTGGTTACTCCTATTTTACAGTAGCCTGTGTACAGCCGTTACTCTTGACGAAACGCGCGAGAGAACGTCTGTGAGTTGGATGCATAATCCTTGTTCAGGTCACGTGGGTAGTTCCCAGATTTGGGGACCGGCCTCTGATTGGACAGTGCTTTATTTGAATAATTTATGACAAATGAAGCTACTTCATTGGTTAATTGATAATTAGCATGCGTTTAAAATAACAACACAAAAATGTTTAAATTCCAGATCAAGAATCAAGATTTCCTTCGGGGTATACAAAGGTTTGAAAGACTAAAAATATAATCTGTTGAGTTTAATTTTGTGCTGTATCGAAGTTTAAGAAAATCAAGATAAATTCTAGTGTTTGGACACTCAGCGAACAATGCTGACAAATATATAAAATACAACAAACTATCGGACGGAAATTGATAATTTATAATTGACAATTTAATAAATTGACAATCTGTTTATATGTCCCGACCCCTCGCGATAAAGCATTTTCTTTACGTGTAATGTGTTTAACTTCGTCTTACTTGGCCAGTTAACTTTTAATTACTTTAAAATGCACCTTTTGAATAACCAGTTGTGTTTATTTTTAATACTTTGTCTTTGTAAACAAATTTTCGCCATATATATGTACGCCAAGAACTGAGCTTGTACACCGGCAATGATCATCGTTCAGCATTGTTCGCACTCAAAACAAATCTCTTCATCGAGAAATATATGCAATATATCGTTTTTTAGATTGTATTTGAAGTCTTTCAAACCTTTGTATGAGGAAATCTTGATTTGGAATTGTGTTGTTATTTTAAACACATGCTAATTATCAATTAACCAATGAAATAGCTTCATTTGTCATAAATTATTCAAATAAAGCACTGTCCAATCAGAGGCCGGTCCCCAAATCTGGGAACTATCCACGTGACCTGAACAAGCATTATGCATCCAACTCACAGACGTTCTCTCGCGTGTTTCGTCGAGAGTAACGGCTGTACACAGGCTAATTTTACAGTTCAATGTGTCAGTAAATTTATTAACTTACGACGTTTCGGAGTATTAAGGCCTGATTCCACGGGCGCTTTTTCTCGGCGAAATGCGAAATATTTCGCCTGTTTCTTTTGAATTGCGACCACTGGAATAAATTATTTCTACTTGATTGCCCACAATTCAAAAGAAACAGGCGAAATGTTTCGCATTTCGCCGAGAAAAAACGCCCGTAGAATCAGAGATATCTATGAATCAGGCCTTAACTCCATCTTTAGGTTTTAGAAAATTTTACCCAAAAAGATTATTTTACAGTCTCACAATTTCCACTTTTCAATGCTAATTTATAACTTGACAGGCATCATTCCTGAAGAACATCAAGCTTTGCAGGTGGTTGCACCATCACCTGATGTCATGGGAAACTACGCTGGAGGATTGATTAATCAGGTAATATTGAAGTACTGTTTAATAAACGAGAAGGAGTGCTTTATCAGATATAAAGCACGAGAGCGCAGCTCGAGTGTTTTATATCTGATAAAGCACGGACTGCAAATGTTTGAAATGGCTTAAAAAAACGACCCATCTCATGAGTTCATTGGCGAAGTAATTTTAAAACTAAACGTTGTCTAAGCCGAGAAAAAAGTTAATGTAAATTGAACATGATTTTTTTCACATATTTCTTTTGTATTTTTCTCATGAATTATTAATGAGTTTATTAATTGGTATTGCAAAGGTTGGTGTATAATTAACCTATTGAGCGCCAGTGCTCTTCCTTTGGCGAGTAAAATTGCCTGGTGTTAGTAAAATTATAAAGTAGCGTGCATTAGGGCTCAATGCAACTAAATGGGTTAAATTGCAGTCCTGTTCAAGTTACAAATCCTGTTCAAGTCCTGTTACAATTGCAGCCCTGTTCAAGTTACAAATCTTGTTCAGGTCCTGTTACAATTGCAGTCCTGTTCAAGTCCTGCTACAATTGCAGTCCTGTTCAAGTTTTTTGCACTTGTAGTTGTTACAGTTATAAAACTCCACGACATGATACATGTAGTGATAAAATTAAATTGAATGCTTTACTTATTTCTCTACACAATTTGTATATTTTAGTGTATACCTGGCATTGTTCAAGCAGTAGTTGGGACTGACCAACCGGTAAGAACAATTTCTCTGTTTTTTATTGTAAAAGCACTAGTGTGTAAAAGCATAGTGTGAATAAATTGTGTGGCCAAAGAGTCTGGCTGTTATTATTTCATGATTATAAGTTATATGACAACCAAAAAATAATTGACTGTAGCTAACAAGACTCACTACAAATTGGTGTCACTCTCCCTTCAAAACAGTTAGCTCATCAGTCGGTGTTTACCAAGATAACCGTGATTTGTTGAGAGCTTAAATCCAGCAAAATGGTCCGTGGATAATCATTAAGAGAGCCTAGGGGCGTTACTGAACTGCTAATAAGAGCTTCTTAGTATTTTTTCACAAGTGAACATAACAAATCCTACACGTTGATTGGGCAGATTTGACGTAATAAGCTGTTATATTCACCTACAGGTGAATATAACAAAACCGAAATTGTCAAAATGGCGGCTAGCCAGGTTGGGGGAAGTCATTGAGAAAGAAATAGGCGAAATTAAAATAAAATCAGGCCCAAAAACACAAAAGAATTGTGTAAAAATACTAAAACAATTATTCGCCTCAGGCTCGGTGATTATCGGGAATATTTACCTCGACTTCGTCTCGGCGAATATTCCCCGATAATCACCTCGCCTTCGGCGAATAATTGTTAAATACCAATACAGGTTATCTATGTGGATGTTCTACGTGCATAACATGCTGGAAGAACGCTAGCACTACAGCACATGCAAAGGGAACTTCAACGTTCAGTCAAATTAATAAAGCTTGGAAACTTAATATTACTTGAAACAATTTTGTTTGCAGTAATCAATGCATGCATATTACAGAGAGGACTCGCTTTGTACTGTACTGTACTGTACTGTACGTTCAGTCAAATTAATAAAGCTTGGAAACTTAATATTACTTGAAACAATTTTGTTTGCAGTAATCAATGCATGCATATTACAGAGAGGACTCGCGTTGTACTGTACTGTACTGTACTGTACTGTACTGTACTGTACTGTACTGTACTGTACTGTACTGTACTGTATTGTAATGTCAATTACAATAACTCTTTTGAATGCTAGATAAAGTAATAATTCTAACGAAGTAGATCTCACGAATTCTTATTATTTTAGGTTGTCCGGATGCAACTGACATGTCCACAACCACCTCCTCTGCCTGATGTTGAACCATTAAAACTGGATGAAATCAGACGAACTGCTCATATTAAACATTTACCTAAAGATGTAAGTAAATTATTTTCATACATTAATTATGAAATATGAATGGATGCTAGACGAAGTATGTTTATCATGTTTGGCTGAATTTTTGGATGCAATATGGAGATGCTACTGTATTGAGTGTCTAGACCTCTTGGTCATTCCATTCACCTAATCACCTTATTCATATTGTTTTGTGCGATTAGAAACTTGTATTGTACGAGTGCATGATTCCGTAATTATTATTACTTTGTAAAACCGTTGTTTAATTGTACTATGTATGCTATTTTTGGATCAGATTAGTTGGTCCAAAGCTTTTGTCATAACACTGTCATCTTCACAATTTTGTAAATTCTTAATGGTTGTATACTGTAGTCAATATTGATGACTGATATTTCATAACATTTTTCTTCTAGGTAAATGCTGAACAGTTGATGTCATTTTTCGCAGCCTGTGGAGATATCCGATATGCTAGGATCGTTGGTGATGATGAAGAAACACCAAGGTTAGAGCTTCTTATTGACCATTTTACTTCACATTTGATGAAACAGCTCACCACCCTCATTAACACTGAGTATTCCTCATGTATAAACCGTTTCCGCAAAGCCGATTTACAAAGTCGAACGGTGTGTGCCAGTATACAATCTTTAACAATAAAGATTGGGAGAAGTTTAGTTTTAGCTCTAGTTTTCACATGCATTCGGTTGTAATATACCATTTCTTGGTCCATTTTTCCACTCTCCTTCCCCCCACCCGTATCAATGTTGGCGTCTCGCAACCAGACATCAGATTTTTGTCGGCCCAACATTGAACTGGAGGAACGGGGGGCGCTACGCCTTTCAAATGATGTGAAATTACAGCACCTGTCCCATAGTTTCTGTCAAAGATTGCATCTAGCGACGATAACAAGACAGCTGCAGATTGTGAGACGTCAATCTACCTGAAAAATATAAGCAGAACTGCAACGTTTCAAGCGAAGACCTTTCATCGGGAAGTTAAGCCTGATTTCCACTGTTGCGTTTTTCATACGTACGTATACGCACGTAAAACTTTAAATCCGTTTAAATGTTACTTATGAAATAACCAAATAAATAAAGCAGCAGAATTTAGTGTTCCGCAAGTTTTAGTATGCATTTGTTATCTTATTTGTAAAATATTTAAAAAATTGAAGGATTCAACGTTTTACGTGCGTGTACGTGCGTACGAAAAACACAACAGTGGAAATCAGCCTTTAATCCTCTTTTTTAATTCCGCCGTTTTTTCTCGTAATGCTCCAAACTCTACCCCCAGCCTTGTCTGTCTGTTCCCGTGTCATACTTTCTCACGCAGAGGGACATTATGAATGTTTCTGTGCAATCTCGCTTGGTAGTTTTGAAACATGAAAGGTGTCATGCATAGGTACTCGAGCATTTCTTGCAGCCGGAGCACGCTCTGTTTTTGCCACACTATGGCCCATTGACGATAAAGCTGTCCTGATTTACAAAGTGACATTTTTCTTTTTTGGCCGTATATTTTACGTAACAATGTGAATATTATGTGTAGGAACAGCGCAACTGCGTATAATTTTAATTTTAACAACTTTATTGGACAACATGCAGTTCAAAACTAACATACGTAACATGCGTAGATTAGCATATACGGGAGCTGGATGATGCTTTTCGCGCAATCTGATTGGTTATTTGGTTGCTCAGCTCAGGATATCCTTGCACCTCCGGAGCAAAACAAAATGTCTTCCTGTCTTAGTCCTTTTAATAGACGAGCGAATTTTTGTACTAAAAGAAGCTGCAGTTTCGCCAAACACAAAGAAAGCCACAAACTTTTGCTTAGCAGTGTGTGCAGGGATTCATCAAGACTATTGCTAACGAATAAAAGTACAAAAAGCTTGTAAATACACTGTTTTGTATACAACTATTGTGGGTGTTAAGAAGTTGTAATACAAATATTTTCTAAACATTTTCATTTGTCATTCTTATTTTGTTATGAACTTATGGTGTACAGCTATTTCAATTAAGGTTGTCCCCCAAGCAAAGCGGAAAAGTCGAATGCGAGCGCGAAAGGTTGCTGGGAATCGCTAATAAATGAATGAATTTATTAGCGATTCCCAGCAGCTTTTCGCGCTCGCATTCGACTTTTCCTCTTTGCTCGGGGGACAACCTTAATTGAAATAGCTGTATACTAGCCTGCGTGCTGTCTCAACCCGTTGTTTTAAAAATATCAACTTGATATTTAAAAAATTCGGGTTGAGGCTGCATGCAGGCTATAGGTATGTACTAAAACAATTATTCAGCTCAGCGTGGGTGAATAGTGCAAGGATATTCACCTCGACGTTTCGCGTGTCGAAACTATTCAATGACCCAAAAGGAAAGATGCGAACGAGACGATAAGTATTTTTCAGGGGTTACAAAATCTGAGTATGTATATATTGGTTGATGTTGGGATGCACACACCCTAACAGCCTGCAGAAATCGGTTATATCCTCATGTTTCCTGCACTAGGTTAAATCAAAGAGAAATATATTCGTGTGCGAGACATTAGGATGAAGATCTGTAACCCTCCATTGTTTTTACTTTTCTCACAGATATGCATTTATTGAATTCCAAGAAGCAAGTTGTGTTGCAAGAGCTCTTCAGTACAATGGGGCAATGTTTGGTGGTGAACCTTTGAAGTAAGAACATTAGAAATGAATGTCATGCAGCATGTCGTAATTATAACATTTCCCAAGTTACACACGTGAAAACGCACAAGTTGTAACAAACCTGCAGCAGACTTGTAGCAATACCGTTCCAACAACTTGTCAACAGGATGTGTTCGCACTACTTGTTCCCAGCTTGTTGACAAGTTGTCAACGGCTTGTTGACAAGTTGTCAACGGCTTGTCGACAACTTGCTACAAGGTTGTTCAGTTCAACAGACTTGTTACAAGTTGTTCCAACAACTTGTTATCGTCTTGCAATTCAACAACTTGTCAACAAGTTGTGAGTGACAAGCTTGTAGCAACTTGATAAAATAACATTGTTACAGCTTGTTGACAAGCTTGCTACAAGCCTGCTGCGAACACATCTTGTTGACAAGTTCACGTGTGTAAATAAGGAAATTAAATAGACGCAATCACGAGAAAAAGTTCTATATTGGAATAGGTACTTCATGGAATTTTTTACCGTGGAATAGATGGTTATTGTATTAAAGCATGTCGACAAACACTGTGTATAATGGTGATTTTTCATTGAATGAAATCTGCTTAAATTTATGCATAGACCTTCTTATTGACTTAAAAATGATGACAGTAAATTAATATAACCATATTTTCTGGCCAACGTTCTAACATAGTCTGCATGCTTCTCGATTGTACAAATTTTTCAAATTTTAAGATCACAAAGGACCCGTAGACATAGTGGGAGTGTATAGAAGGAATTTGGAAACCGAGCTTTTTCGTTGTGTTTTGGCGAAACATTGTCTACTTGTTTAATTTCTCTGCAGGGTTAATTTCGCCAAAACGAACATATTTAAACCTGAAAAAGAGATTGCTCGCATGAAAAGTGGTATGGATAAAACTATGAAGAAAGTAACTGAGGCTTCAAAACTTGTCAGTGAAGAGCTTGATGGTAAGTAGTTTAATACGTTATATTATATATTATATTATATTATATTATATTATATTATATTATATTATATTATATTATATTATATTATATTATATTTAAAACATTTTTTCCGTATTGATATACATCAACACTCGTGGGAATTGGGAAAACTCGAAATTGTGTGAAAACACTCCGCTCGTGTTGATATAACTGTATATCAACACGAAAAAGTTTTATATTTGTTAAATAAAGGATGTTACGTTATAATACGCTGTCATTCAATCCAACAAGCATTTAAATTTCGGAGTGAAGGTGCACATTATATTTCTCTAGGTGGACTGGGAGAACTTTCTGAGGTGATGCAAAATATTTGGGGGGAGGGGGTATGCGTACCCCCTGCACCCCCCCCCCCAGAAAATCCGTCTATGGTTATAATAAAGGATGTATATATTACTCGATAGTCATGGATCTTTAGATATTCTTCAGTCAATCAATAATTCTATCAGTCCTGTTCTTACTCTTGTAATCACTTTTAAAGTTATATTCGCTTTTAAAAAAGTGATAATTTTTACATATTGATCTATAGCTAAATATGCATCCCCTCAGTCCATTATGGTGTTGTAGATATTAGGATGGCTCAAAAGATGTTAATTGTTAGTTCTAACTAGTACTCGATTATAGTTACCTATATCTTAAATAACAGTTTACGATTGAATGCCTTTGAATTTCTAGATGATCCGAAATCTCGCAGAAGTTCACGAAGTCGGTATGTAAAATGTACTATTGTTCGATTTTTAATGTTTTTATACTGTCAACTGAGCATGTTAATTTTTTAATCAATTTACATTGAAGGGGTTAGTGTGTTTAAATAAAGTTTACCTTATCTTTATCAGGCCATGTGCTTGTGCTCCCAGTTGCACGATACGGGATTCGCTTGTTACGACATCAACATACTGTATGCAGTTCAGAAATGATGTTTGCCCACAAAAATTTCGCCCTTGAAAGTTTTCGTCTTGTCATATAATCACAATTTCAAGTGTTAGAAGATCCCTGAAACTGTTACATTCGATGTTGTGACAAGTGGATCCGGTATGGTGTAACTGGGGTCTAAATATAGATTTTCGTTCTTTGGATATAATAGGTCGCCATCACGCAGGAAATCTCGTTCTCGTTCTCCATCAAGATCAAGAAGACGACGAAGTAGATCAAGATCGAGGTATATCATGCATACATTATTGTTTATTTCGAAGATGATATGTAGTCTGATTCACGCATGTGCACGTCACGTGATGTAGTTTATTACGTCACCAGGGAATATAAAAGTTCAAAAAAATGTATCAAACTCTTAGATCTATTTAAACATTCTCAAAATGCTCAATTCAAATGTGATATTTTCCTCCTCGTTAATTATATTGATTTCGTTAAGGTTCCTTTAACAAATAGTTAACCTAAAATAAAATTTCTAAAACCCAAAACTTTCGAACAACACGTCCAGCGTCAGGAGGAAACTTGTAAAATTATAAGTTTAGCACAGAAGGCACCATACGAATATGAATGAGAAAAATTAATTGTTTGAGATAAAATCCGGTTTGCAACATAATCGAAATATTAAGTCGATGTGATGAGTTGAAACAAAATGTATAAAACAATTTTTCTATGCGCATTTCAGACTTTACATCATCTTTATAACATTTTTTATTGAACGGAGAACCTCTGGCGACTATCAACACTAACGCATCATTTGCAATCGACAATCGTACCACACAAATCTGCATAATTTGCCATATACGTATATGAGCAATTATGCGTTAGTTCTTATCTACGTTCTTTTTAAGTGAGCTGGTGAAGCAAGTCATCAAAAGGTATTTAGAACATATGAATGAAAACAATGAATCCTCTGCAAGCGTTTCTACATTTCTCCTGCCAACCCAGTCTTCGCCCTAATTTCCGACTGCGCATTAGCATACCAACATAGCGCCGGTAGAAAAAGTAGTTTAGTCGCCAAACTTGAGCAATTTCAATTCAGGTAATTTTGCAGATATCGTTCTCTGCGTGTGCGTTCATTCCCTTCAATATATCTTCCCATAAAGAAATTTTGCCATTACATTTTCCGTAGTCGCTTGTGTTTGGTAAATGTACTATCTATAAGGTCGAGCTCAATCAATTGTCCTATCCTGACTAGGTAAATTTACTCGGCTATTGTTACGTATACTGAATTGTCATAAATTATTTGACAGTGATCGTTATGGAAGCAGACGTCGCCGCTCACCATCACGTGACAGATTCAGAAGACGTCGAAGTCCTAGTAGGTATGCAACAAGATGATTCAACATCAAAAAGAATGTTAGGATTGATCATAGATATCTTATATACATTAGATAGCGCATCTCTATTAGTAAAACTGAAGCCAAGAATATTCCAGCGGTTACCCCCATTTGAATAGATGGCGGCCATGTTGGTCGTTCCCACTCGCTAATAAACGCTTAAAAATAACAATAACTTTCATCATTTGAATAGTTTAAAAATGTATTTGGTATAGGTTTTACTTAATGTTTAAGTTGCCTGTTTAAGAAATAGAAAATATACGAATCTTCTCATTTCATGGGAACGACCTGAGACTGCAATCACGGCTTCAATTTTTGAATTGCAGAATAACTAGATGCGCTATCTAGTGTATATAAGATATCTATGGGATTGATCAATGTTACCTACTTATTGCTATAAACAGGCTTGTGGTCAAACCGCTTAAATACTGTTAATTTTAAATTTAGATATTTGTTATATGTGCAGCAAATCGTTTGTTTATTTCATTGTTATTTGTTATGCAACATTCAAGAGATGACAAGGCTTACAAAATTTATCACTTATTACCAGTTGGAATAAATTATCGCTAAAAGTGAATTTATGAAAATAATATCATTGTTTCTTACTTTGTCAGATCTCGCTCACCATCACGACGATCTCAACGATCAGATTCCAAGTCTCGTAGAAGACGCAAATCTACCAGCCGCCCTCGCAGGTCACCAAGTCCGAGTAGGTAAGAAACTAAAATTCAGAGGGAGGAAAATATCAAATTTCAGTGATAATAAGGATATTTCCATTTTTAACAGAGACCAAAAACGACGTCGTTCGTCGTCTCGAGGACGATCAAAAGAGAGAACCAGAGGTAAGTCACGTGATCGTTCTGGAGACCGCACACGTGATCGGTCACGTGACCGTGGCAAAGAGAAATCAAAGTCTGAGAGCTCGAAAAAGAAGGATGAGAAGAAAGATGAAACCACGTTACCTGAGAAGAAAGAGGGCGAGGAAGGAGGTGACAAGAAAGTGGAGGGAACTGAAAAAGAAGATCAGAAAGAAGATGAAAATGAAACTCTAAAAGAAAAGGACAATGAGAGTGGAAAAGATCAAGAAAAGGAAACAGAAAAGGAGCAAAAGGAGAAAGGTGAAGAAAAAGAGAAAGAGAAAGATGAAGATCGGGCTAAAGAGAAAAATCGGGAAAAAGAGAAAGAAAGAGATACAGAGAAAGATCGGGCAAAAGAGAAAGAGCGTGAAAGGGAGAAGGATCGGGATAAAGAGAAGGATCGGGAAATGGAGAAAGATCGAGAAAGGGAGAAAGATCGAGGAAAGGAGAAAGGAAGAGACCGGGAAAAAGATCGGGACAGAGAGAAAGATAGAGAACGGCAGAAAGAAAGAGATCGAGAAAGGGAGAAGGAGCGAGACAGAGAGTCAAAGAAGAAAAGGGAGAGATCAAAAGAAAGATCCCGGTCACGAAGTAAAGGTCGGGAGAGGAAAAGAACGAAAGATAAATCTCCAAGTAGATCTACGTCAAAATCACCGAGAAGATCCTCCTCAAGGTATGTATATTATTAATATAGTTTTAGATAAAATAATAAAGAGCAAAAGACGTTTTTGATTCACAAAAGCCTACAGGAAGTCTGTCGAGTTGTTATAGATGGTGACAGCTGTTTTTAAGCTCTTTAATATACCATTAAAAGTCACGTTTGCTGTACCTATTATTTGTCTAAGGACAAATATTGTTCAAATATTACGTACTTGCTTTGGAAAACATATCAAGAACAAAGTCGATTATTCTTCAATACCCAGTACTGCATTACTTAGTGTATATAAATTGGTACTAATTTCGTTCTGTGTTTTAACAGCAGGCACAAAAGGAAAAAAGATAAACGTGATAAACGTGATGACTACGATGGTTAGTTTTTTAATTGTATATTAATACACGCAGGGCCGCCGAGGGGGGGAAATTGCCCCGGGCTCCCACCTTGATAGGACCCAACTTAAGAGCGAGAGCCTAAAATTAAGTAGGCTTTTTTAATTAAATTGGTCAGAGCATTTTTGAAATTGAGGGCCCCTTACAGTAGCTCCATATGCAGTCTATAGCTTAAAAATAATGATGTCATAGGGCCCCCAGAGAAGATTTGCCCCGGGCCCCGCAAATTCTCTCGGCGGCCCTGAATACATGTCATATATAGAACTGTATAAACATAGGTTCGAAATGAAACTGCCATTCTTTGAGTAACTGCAAATGGTTATTAAGATCTAGGCATCTAGCTGTCTATCTATCTAATAGTATCTATCTATCTGTTGTCAGTGTATTTACAGTAACTGCCTGCCATTCTATCATCTATCTTTTCATCCAGCCGTCTGTCTGCTTGTCTATATGTCTGTCTGGCTACGTATTTTTCTTTTTTCAGTATCTTGATTACTTTCTTTATCTTCTTCAATTGTCTCTTTTTCTTTTTTCTTCATCCATTCATCTATTTAATAATCTGATAACCTATATTTAACAATTATTTAGCAATTATTGACCGAAGTGGAGGTGAATAGTGCAAGGATTCTAGCCATACCATAATAAAACAAAACGAAAATATTTTATAAACAATTTGTATTACAGCTCCCATAATAGTTGTACTTGTTTGTTAAGGTAAAAAAAATACACGAGACAGCGATGGTGAGGCCGAAGAACGGCCGAAGCCGAACCGAAGTGATGATTCGGATGATGATCGGAAGAAATCTCGCCGGAAACGTAGCGATGAAGAATCAGATGGTGACGAGAGCAAGAAAAGAAAGCGTCATTATAAAAAGAAGCCAATCTCCGCTGATCACTATGGTAGCGGTAGTGACTGAGAGGTTACTGAGAGGCACAACTTGCGATTGACAGTTTAGTCAGTTTATACGCTCTCTGTCTTGACCAATAGGGACCTTTAGCTAGCAGGACGGCGACGGCTATTAATACAATGAAATTTATGACAGTGTAGAAAGAAAATGCATAATTAAAGGTCCCATGGGAGTTTTAGACGTCGTCCTTGCTCTGTTTACAACAGCAAACCAAAGATTTTCACGTTTTGTACACAACGTCTGCCTTTCAAGCCGCGAGAAGTCGTCCTCGCCAAATTGGCTTAGTAGAAGTCTTCTCAACTATAAACCTCTGTCTTAACCTTCTTAAATTGCAATAAATTCATACAACGGATAATACAAGACATGTTGATCTTAAAGTTACTTATTCGAACGAGTATTTTGGCCGTCGTCGTCGCGTTGCCGTCACCTATTTGCTAAAGGACTCTATTATTATGGCCTCAGACAGATTATTTAAATGCTGATTGGCTTTAACCTAGGTCAGTATATGTGTCTGTTTATATGATCCCGGCTAGGCGGGACGGGTCTTAAAGGTGATAAATGCCAACAACGGCACTTACCACCTTTTAGATATTCCAGAAAAATAATAAAATTTTGAAACAAATACAACTTAGCTCATATCTTTTTGAGGGCATATTCAGTGAGAAACTCATTTTTCTCCAACGATAATCCTTATTTTTTCCATCGATATGTCCAAACTATCCGACATAGGGTTCGAACCTGCGTTCATAATATTTCTGCATATTACAATAATAGTTTATATGTAATGCACATATATTAATATTACATACAGAACATTTTCCTTGGATAAGAATAATTATTTTATTATAAACGTTTTAGTTGTGTCTGATAGCTCAAAACGACTGGTAAAGTCGTTGAAATCCATTGCGGTTTGAACAATTCAACGTCACTTTTTACTGCCCTTAAGTCCTTGAATTTCCTGTTACATGACCTTGAAAATTCTTGAATTTTACTCATCCTGACCTGTGCGGCTCTTGGGGATAAATGTAATGTATCTTTATTGACTTTATTGTACTTTTATCTCTGTAGTTCTCTTACGTCGCCGTCGTTTTCTTGGTGTCTTCTCAGGAAAATGTCCATTAATGTCTTTTGTTTTTTCCATTAGAGAGTGTCCATGAATATCAGGTAGTTTGTCCTTTGTATTATCTTGTGATGGATCGTTTTCCTTACAGCTGTCTTTCAGCTTATCTTTTTCACCTGATTTTGAACAGTGATGTTTTGTTTGGCTCTTTTGACGCATCTTGAACCCCGTAATTTCGCTGTGTTGGTATTCCACTGAACCGTGTATCTTAAATCCAAACAATTTGGGTACATAGTGACCTAATGTTGGACTGGGATGAAGTGCTGGGTAAGCCATAAAGAACATCTGTGGTAAACTTGTGCCAAAAGAAGCTCCATCTGTAGGTTCGTTTCCAGGTAGTTCCGTGTGATATATATCCTCGCAACTTGGACAATATGTTTTCACATTACCTTGACCAAGTTTATCCGACATTCCAATTGGTAAAACTGTTGTTTTCTCGCAGTAATATCTTGGACACAAACCATAAAATCCTTCCTTGTACTTCTTAAACACTTTTTCTAATCCTTTGCTTGTAAGCATATAGCGTGCATGTACTAAGCTATATAACATCTCAGCTGCTTCAAGATGTTTACCTTCGTTCTTCGTACGTATTTTACTGTTTCCGTTAGAATCTAAGTATAATCCATCACTCAGGATGATATGAAGTCCGTGTGATAGATAGCATATCTCTTCATCTAATCCTGTAAGATTAGTATAATCACGTAGGAAGTCTCGATCTATTTCTTCTAACCATTCATTTCCATGTCGCTTACGAAATCTTATTACCCAACCACTAGTTGTGGTATTGCGCTCTTTCTTCTTCACATCTTTGCAGGTTTCCCCCTCTGCATCCTTTGCAGTTCCCAAGTCTGCTGGGTTTGAGTTATTTGCTGTTTCCATTCTAAGCATGATGCTGTCGTATGATAGCTATATCTAATATGAATACCTTGGGCATGTATCAGGATATTAATTGTATATTACCCGTCGCTAGGTTAGTTAATTATTTATGTTTCTAATAATATACATGTTCACATGATATATTATTTTGAATTTTACATTGATAGTGGTACAAAACATAATTTTCCTGTAGCCTAATCTTTACTGCATTGAGCTGTTCCTCTTAATTGTATGTAATTGTCTGATTTTAGTCCGGTAAGTAGCGACATTGTATATAAAGTTGTGTTTCACGCATATTTTGTTTCTTTATTTACCGCAAACATTCTTTTATTGTTTTGTGGGTTCACAACATCTCACTACATGTTATAATGATCGTATGCTGCAACAGGCAACTTTTTTGTCCAATCCACAAAATCAAATAATTGGCATACGCCAATATACGTAATATGCTAGTACAATGTTTAGGTTTAAAAGACTATTCTATATTTGGTAATACATTGTGCGTAAAAGGCGGAGGCGTATAGTGACCCTCAATTTCAAAACAAGGAATGTTTATAATGTAAGGTTTAATAAGTCATTTAAACGTAAATAACTTGTCTTTCCCTCAATGACCTTCTAAATTAATTAGGCCATGCATGCACGCGCATGGTATAACATCCGTTTATGCCAACAATTATATGATTATGTTATTAGTATATCAGGCCTTCCTACTAAATTTTCATGTACACGTAAAAATTCATAAGCGTTATTCTGGTTTTGTTGTAAGCATTTAGTACCTGCTACATGTGGTTAAATATTATACATGTTAATTGTTATAGTATCCCACACTGACCTTCAATAAATTTAACGTCTTCAGGATAAAAAAAACCCACATTAAAACCATTCAAAAACCTTTAGATTATTTTTGGATTAAAAAAGGAAGCTTTTTTATTTCTCGGGTATGTTTTTTAGGTTTGTGTACATGCCTTTCACCACTGCGAGTGTGGATTTTGTTTCTGCAGTATGCAATATTCTGATTATGATTTCGCGATCAGTTGCCTCCTATAATACCAAACATCTCGGGTGTTCGCTGGGAACTATACGAATGCCGGATAGTCCATATACACACCGGAGAGTGATTTCTTCAACCTTCGTAAAAAATGCCTATACATAGCTGTGAAACTACAGATATATATAGTATTATAGACCTCACAATAAACTTAAAACTCTTTAATTTATGATTACTTTATAACTTTAGTCTTGCATGGTTATACTATATTGAACGGTCAATTTTAATTGTCGGAAGAGGGGAATGTTTTATATTGTTAAAATCGGCCATTTACACGTACCGCACTTTATAAAACGTTAGTACGAAGTTGTTTCGCGTACAGCTCGCAAGTCTGGTTCCCGCAGTTCTCTTTAATCCTCGAAAACGATCGCACCAACTTTCCCAGTCCTTGTTGATATCACCAGGATTGCTATTTGAGCTCATGTTATTGATTTGATCCAAGGTTATTAATGGCGACAGGTTTATTGATAAGAGAGTTCTGTATAATCCCGGCCAGTCTGCTAAGCTGTAATCTAGGACAGTTCGCGTGTCACTTGAAGATAACAGGTTGAAATCAAAGAACAGAAGATTATGATCGCTGAAGAGGTCCATTGATTGTAGTGATATGCACGGATTGATATACTCAGGAGTGTTGGTCAGGATTAGATCAAGGATGTTGTTTAGCCTCGTCGAATACCGGTTAACTTGTCCAAGAAAAAAGTCGTACGAAAGAATATAGAGCTGGGAGAGGCATTCAGAGTTCCAAGTCAATTCAGGAAAATTAAAGTCTCCAGTTATGAAAACCTTTTCATATTTTTCAGCCACTTGAAGAAACAACGTAAAATAACTAAGCTATTCATTAAGATCACCGTAGTAGACGCACAGTAGGCATTTATTTGGTGTATGTGATTCAATTTCTATGGAGAGAATTTCTAAATGGTCAGACCAAGACCCCGAGTTAACTCGGTCGTACTGAATTCCTTCACGCAATGCTAGCAAAACACCTCCTCCACGTTTGTTGGATGGCCGATCATTTCTGATGATGTAACCAGAAAGCAATATTTTATTGACACTGACATTAACATTACTACATTACATTATTATTCAGCTCACTCCCCAGTGGGGCTTTTCAGTGACCGATTACTGATGGCATTACGCTTACTTATGTTACTTACTTTGCCTAGACTATTTAATCTCTTTACAACAATTGTGATTATTTTCTTAACTGTGTTTATCCTAACCCACCCTATCGACTTTCCCTGTGGGAGGAAAGCGGAGAAAACCACGACTTTCAGCAGAGCGTTGACTGAGTCCGTGGCGTGAATCGAGCCCAGGTTCTCAGAGGTGAAAGGCGCTTGCTCTGACGACTGCGACCCGACCGTCGTTCAGAAGCAACCTACGGTTTTCACTCGATCAAACTGAAGATTGGTCAATTTCTACAGTTGCTCCTTTTTGCATTTTTTTTATTAATTTGGTTAGAGTTAGAGTAGGGGTAGTATAGTAACATAGCTAAAAATAGGTACGCAATGCGTACATGTTGCATGCCATCTGAAACCTTATGACGCGCTATAGCGCTTATAACCTTTGCTACAACTGGCCTGTGAAAGTTAAAATATTGATTTAATAAGTTTAATATAAATATATTTAGTGAGAAATAGTTCTTCATTCTCACGCAAATAGGCAATGTTTTTATAAGCGACCGTTCATCGTTAATTGCAAGCGACAGTAATAACAAGGTCAAGGTTTCAGCGAAAACGATTGACTGTTAGATTTCCTTTACAAATTTATAACTAAACAAGATGCCTGCTTAGGCGTTCACACTGGCCTCGCGGCGATAAAATACCATCACAAATTCACAATATTCCAAAAATAATTTGAAATATCAACTGTAGATGTTCTTGACGGCCGTCACTTGATGATCACAACAATCAAAGTACGGCAAAATAAAAATCCATGCAAAACCAATAAGAGTTCAGTGATATGTTATCGAAAACACAGAAAAAGTTTAAGCGCATGCGCAATGAAATATAATAAAATACGTCCCACAATTACAGCGCAGAGATTACAGCGTCTAAGATTTGTAACGTAGTTAAAAACGAAATTCGTTCGTAAACTGTTGTTTCAATTACTACATAATGTTGTATGCAAATAAGAATTTTGTTTGATATTTATATTTCATGTTATTTAGAAAATGTAGTGCAGTTTTGAAGTTTTGCAAACAATATAATCGCACTGAGCACAATGTTACGTTTCAGTTTAAGTATATAAAAATTGAGTATTTTGATAGCGTGGTTTTAAAGTTTCACGATATATAAATAAACGCGATAAATATAAAATATCAGTGACAGTGCGCACACAACGGCTTCAAAATCACAACAAATAACAGAATATAAAGTAAGTTAAAAACAGCAAAGCTTTCCCTACCTCGATCTATTTTTCTAAGGCGCTCAATTATGTAAATTTTCGGCGAATAATCAATATTTTCTTTGTGTTTCCTCGACCGAAACTCATGAAAATGCTCGTCGGAAAAACTCGGCATTTGTCGACTCGTATTTCTCGAATCTGCCACGTGATTATGACCACCGGTACGCTCATGACACGAAATTTAGAGCTATATGAAAGTTGCAACAAAAATGGTGATGCATGTTTTATCCAAATTGGTGGCCGGACATTTTGTCGAAAGACACTTTGCCGAAAGGCATTTTGCCAAACGGACATTTTGCCGAACGGACGTTTTGCCGAACGGACAGTTTGCCAAACGGACATTTTGCCGAACGGACAGTTTGCCGAAAGGACAACTTGCCGAAAATAGAGATATCTTCTGAACTTTAAAGGTTCGCTTACAAGGTTTTGGTTTCTGTGATTAAAGTCGTTGTTGATTTTGATGACAGAAACTTTCCATAGCGAAGTATAGTTTCGTTTTATATTCTTTCAATTTTTTTACCAACCTCGTACCCAGGGCCTGGTTTTTGACAAGTTTACCGAATTTTCGCAATATAAAAAATTATAACATTATTCAACATCATTCATGAATACGATTTCCCCGAGAACTGTGAATGTATTCAATGATTCCCAAAGTGAAATTCGCTTACGTCGTCTTTATATACGCTTGCTTGTTTACGATGTGACGTCAAAACACGTTCCTAACAAATGAGTCATCCGCTGCACAAACAAGCTACCCATATTTCGTTACTCTGGTTTAATGATTACAAAGCCCTGTCGAATTGTAATCAGGACCCAACGTTTCAACACTCCAGTCTAGTGTCTTCATCAGGGATGATCTTAAGTTGCAATCGTGGCTTCTTATTTCGTTAACGTATTTTGGATATTTTGTTAAGGGTTATGCAATAGTTCCATACATTCAAGGTGTCACAGAGCCAATCAAGAGAATCTTAAGTAATTGTAATATTAAAGTTGCCTTAAAACCCTATTTGACTTTAGGCCATATATTTTCGCAAAGCCAAAAGATCCTGTTAAAACAAATCAGAAAACTCGTGCTGTATATTCTATACCATGCGGTGGCGAGAAAGAGTATTTGGGTGAGTCTAAACGCCATCAAAAGGCTGTTTCAACATCAAAAGGCTGTTTCAACTTTAGACAAGGGAAAATCAGCTTTAGCAGAACATGCCCGTTACACCAAACACGAGATTGCGTGGGAAAACTCTAAAGTAATTACCACAAACTATCGTTATGGTCAAAGACTATGCCTTGAAGCGTGGCATATAAATATGAGTAATCATGCTTTGAATAGGGATGACGGTGCTTATTTGCCAGAGGAATACATGCATCTCATTGGCAGGTGACGTCATCCCTTAGGTATTTAAGATCACCCCTGATGAAGACACTAGACTGGAGTGTCGAAACGTTGGGTCTTGATTACAATTCGACTGGGCTTTGTAATAATTTATTTAATTAAACCATGAGAGTAGCGAGCGAAACATGATTGATATACCTAGTTGCAGTGAACGAACAAACTTTAAAGCTACCCAACACTAACGACACATGCACTGCTAATGACCATTATGCATTGCTAATACCTTATATAATGGTTATTTTACACAATGGTTGAGAATTACAAAGTTGAGAAGTGAGGCACAGTCCCAAACATTTTGACGAAAGAACATCTCTATTTTCGGCAAGTTGTCCTTTCGATAAACTGTCCGTTCGGCTATAATGGTTATTTTGCACAATGGTTGAGAATTACAAAGTTGAGAAGTGAGGCACAGTCCCAAACATTTTGACGAAAGAACATCTCTATTTTCGGCAAGTTGTCCTTTCGATAAACTGTCCGTTCGGCAAAACGTCCGTTCGGCAAAATGTCTTTCGGCAAAAATTTTGTCCGGCTACCTCCAAATTGCACTGGAAACCATCCTATTACCTATATATTAATATGACGTACTTGTAATATGGTGTACTTGTGCTCAAAATGTAAACCACACATCGTCCGAACGGACTTGACCCCATCTTTAACAAAACATGGGGGTAATAACCTATACTTATTTACTTTTGGAAAGGAAATATTAAAGCATAGTACGTATAGTCTTCGTGACATTTCAAGTACCGTAGTTGCCAAAGTCACTTTCAAACCGTTTGAAAAAGAGTTTTACGTATGATAGTTTCAGAAAACAAAAGAAAAAGCAAAATACTATCAAAGTTTTACCATCGCTTTCTAAAGAGTAAATGTGGTAACGAATATTCAAAAGTTATTATCAAATTTTTAAATGTACATGCTAATTCCTTCCAATTTTTTATACTTTGTAATTATTTGTTGTTTCACACTTTGCCGTGGAAACCAGCTTAGCTGAGAATGTTAATGTTATCATCATCATATTAATTATGTTAATCTATATTACATATTACAAAATTTCCCAGGCTCTGCAGAATTTGTGTGTGCCTTCCCATGATGCAGGAGGAAGGAAACACCAGTAAATAAGTTGTGCGGGATTACAGTGATCGCGTATAAAGGGACTGAAGCGGACCTCCAAACCGCGCAGTGATGACGTATAAGGGGACTTAAGGCCACACAGACTGGACGCGATTCGGCAACGCGACGCGAATTTTCAGTTTTCAAAAACAAATAAAACCGTCAACGGATAAAAATTTTACAAGATATGCAGACCAAATAGCTAAAATTGCTGAAGTGGTCCCGAATATTTGAAAAACATAGAAAGATATTAAAGTTAAATGTCATTGAAAACTGAAAATTCGCGTCGCGTTGCCGAATCGCATCCGGTCTGTATGGACCTTTAATTAAGGCCGTACGGACGTTTTCCACTAGGCGGAATTTTGCGCGCGGAGCGGAATTTCTCTTTGTCTTTTCTAATTAGTTCCACCCGAGAAATCACAAGACAAAGGAAAATTCCGCTCCGCGCGGAAAATTCCGCCTAGTGGGAAACGGCCTTGAAACTGATCCTGAACTAATGCACGGATGGCCATGGACAGACGCCACTGCCGACCGAGGGTTCACTTTTTACCGATAAATGACTAAACGTTATCGTTCCAGTTAAAATGAATTCAGTTCATTGGTCCACCCCTGGTTCATTGGAGAACTTGAGTCATAATCACGCGCCCGAAATCATTGATGACTTTTCACTCCGCCAGGTTACCTAGCTACGCGTTACCATAATTCCAGAAAGCCAAGCACGAAACATGATCATACTAAGTCAGTATTTAGTATTTGGTAGCATATATTATGGCCCATAATAAGGCCGTTGTTATTTCAGGGTTTTGCAGAATTATGCGTATGAGAGGAGTTCTCTGAATGGACAACTGAACCTGTCACTCATTCAACGAGAGTAAGGAGAGGACTGGATATTGACCACAAAAATCGCAAAAAAGTGAAATTATAATTATTTAAAAGTACATTAGTTAAATTCAAGGCACGTATCAAATTAACCTAGCTGAGGATACAGTGGAGCCTTGATTAAGTTAATTAGAAATTATTAAGGATACAATCAATTAATTAAATGTTCAAACTTCCCCGTCCATTGTTGCTAATGTCCTATATCCAAGTATACAAAATGATATCTATATCTACTGTAAAATATGATCCAAAGCTACACTTTTGGAATCAATAAATACAAACTTTATCGCTTCCGCGGTAACAAGCAATGCATGACCTAAACATTAGCGGCAATTTATCGGCCTGATGAGCTCCGTTTTCTGTGCGAAGGACTGCATGCAAAAGATCAATAACAGTACACCGTTCTGGATAAAATAATGGCAATGTGTAGAAGCACAATGCCGATTTAATGATTAACACAAAAATAACAAATTACAAATAAATGTTACAAATTTAGTATTCATGCATAGAGCACAGAAAAGGTGGGGTGTTAAAAAACGCCCCATACACAAAAACGCCCCATATACAAAAACCGCCGGTAACGTGTATCGTAGGACGCAAAATGAGGCAAGGGAGGGCGGGAGGGAAAGGAAAACTTGTGAGGAGGACTTGAAAACTTGCCTTGCGAAACCAAAGGTGAATGACCTTGAGCTGTTAACGCTCAACGTTTTTATATAGTAGGCCCAAGATGCACGTGAAGCGTGACATGGAAATTCACTGATGTGTTGCAAAACTCCACGGGAAATAAAACTGGTTGAACGAGTTTCCCTGCGAAGTTCCCTCAATAACCCCATTCTGCGTGCTACCCCGAATCCCTAAATATCCCTACAAAATTCCCACGGAAGCATAAATTGATTATTCGCTGAAGAAAATAACTCCTTTAAGAGGTTATGATGTCTATAAAAAGTATTACGAGGTTGTCCATAAATCTATAACTCCTTTCCGTTGTAATTCATCGGCTCGTCTGGAGGGACACACTGAGAACCCTCAGGTCTACCAAACCTGTCAATCTTTGAACCACCGTCAGTTGGCGTGATCAAAACACTATCTCTTGATGCTATGGAAGGATCTTCATTGAAATAATTGAAAGGCCGAAGAAAAAACCCAGCGTAATTACCAGGTGTTGATGTGTTGGGAATATCTTCAGAATGAGGGACATGCATGATACCTACAGTTATCCATGAAACTAAATCTTCATCTACAATGCTCTCGTTATCCAAAATAAACTTTTTGAAGTCCACGACAGGATTGTACAGGTCATTTTGGTTATACATAGATGAACTCCTATCCTCGGTTTTTTGTATTTTGTTACTGCAAGTTGATAGTGCGACCAACTGAAACCATTTGTAAACTGCCAGTTTTCTGGATATAACTGATGAAGTATCCCGTTGTGTTGAATACGATATCCCCGTCGGACACCCTGAGCATTCTTTTCCGCTGAGTTATAAAAATTCAGATACGATGGTTTTTGGAAATCAAATTTGTAAGCAGCGTCCAATTCAGTTCTCTTTAAATCATGTATTAATCTTTTCTGAACGTGACGTGTGTTAGGAAACCACAATGAGGAGATGTTTTCAAGTGTTGAGGTTATAGTCTCAAATCTGTTTTCACGACCTGCAATGTCTAGATCAACCTTGTAATGAAAGATATGATCATGTATTGTGCCAGCGACATTTTTATGTACTTCATTGCCGTAGTTAGCATCTTCGTCTGTCCAAAACATGACTTGCAGGTACCCTGTAGTCATGGTCTTCGTTTCAATGACTCCATTAGGATAAAATATGAAATCATATACATAGTCATAATTATATGGTGTAGATATCGTTCTCAAAACAAGCCCTGTACCTTGCATTCCTCCAATGAAAGTATAACTACCTTCAAAGTCGTTTTCAAAATGGCGGCGAAGAGGCATTCCCAGATTGTGTTCAAAGACGCAAACAGCATTACGACGTTTGGCCGGATGAGAGGAGTCAGCGAAATATACAACATCGAAGAATGTCGCAGTTTTAGGACAGTCAACACCTTTCACAAGTTCAAAATTAGCACCAATGGCCCAGGCAGTATCAAGATAGTTACTATACGATTGCGATGGAGAAAACCCAGCGTAAAACGATGCAGGTTCTTGCAAGCTTAATTCGTACACAATTCGTTCTCCATTAAATCTGATATCAAACAACTGTGGACCTGATGTTGTGCGAATACGAAAATCAAAACTCCATCCCATGTATTCAATGTGATTGTTTTCTGCTGTGTAACGTCTACCATCCGGTTCAAACTGTTCAGGTTCACGTAATGGTAGTGAAGGTTGAAGATGTGTTCCTCGTCTTTTCAGAGTGGAGTATGTGAGATTATTTCCTTCAGGTGGAGGAAGACTCACTACTGTGATGTTTCCAGCATTGTATGACTTGATAAATTCATCCACTGAATCATACACTATTTTATTGTAGTAGACCTGAAATGAAATACAGAATGAGTTTAAGAAAATCACACATGAAAGAAGCACGGGAAATCCCCCTCAAATCGTCGTGTAACTACTATGCAGTTATAATGTGCGTGTCCCCATACTTTTGTTTAATTTGATGCGGTGATCACTCGGTGTTAGTCTTGGGTTTTTTAAAGCGCTTGTTTCATATTCATATATATCATTATAGTATGTGATATCTAGCTTTAGTTACGTAATTTCGAGATGCTTTAGTTACGTAATTTCGAGCTATGAGAGATGACGTAAAGTACAAATAATACTTGTCGCTGATTGGCACATGTATCCACGATACAAATATATCTGTGCTAGCGCAGATACAGAATCATATTGTGGAATACTTCTCTGATCCGCATAATGTGTCCATATATATTAGCACTTTGCGCTTCAATTTCCTAACTGTGTCGAAACATTGATACACATCTGGAGCGAGAACTCGAGTCCAAAAAATGAAACCAAAGATGGCGGAAATTGAAGAGCAATTGGATGGCAACCCAGTCCCTTTCTATTTTTTTTTCTGCGCGGTTGGGCACGAAGCTGCCAGGTGGACTGGAATTTCGTATTTTGAATTCGATTCAAAGACTAATATTATGATTTTATGAACTGAAACTTCACAGGTGGCCCAGGCTCTGTGTGGTTATCTATTTATTTTTCAATTTTATTATAGTTTGTTTTAAACATGTACTTTAAATTACAAAGTATAACTTAATTAGTTTCCTTTATGTATTATATATGTGCGATTTGGAGGTGGTTTTAGTTTGATATAATGATATAAAAACATCAGAATGCGATGTAATGTACACTTTATATATTATAAAATATTGTAAAATGTTGTAAATGTCTAAATACGCTCTGATACATCTATTCAAATGGGGGTAACCGCTGGAATATTCTTGGCTTCAATTTTACTAAAAGAGATGCGCTATCTAGCGTATATGAGATATCTATGGATAACAATAATAGGATGTTTGAACTTTCTGAAGGACTCGTTCAACACCCTGTAGTTTGTCTTTTGCTGTCAAAGGCAGCATTACTGCCCTGTGGGTAACCTAGTTATATCAGGTCTAATCACAAGAGCTGACGAAGAGATATTGGCATTTAAAGTCAACGAAGTTAATGCAATGCTAAAGCAGTCATGCTTGGGCAAAAACTGGGCATTTATTGAACATGACAACATCACTTCTCAACACTTAAACAAGAGTAAACTTCATTTGAACAAACAAGGAACAAGTTTATTGGCATGCAATTTTATAAACCATATATATGGCAGACGCCATTAGGAATTTGCCGTGTGGGAATCGTTTGTTAATAACACTGATGTACAACCAAGAATAGATGAGAGAAACTCAACCAATCTGGGTGAGTTAACTGAGTCTAATAATATCTCTAATTTAACTTATACAAATAATACAATGCCATCCCATCGTGGTATGGCAATTGCATTGCAATAGTCTCATTGCCCACATAGATGAATTGCGAATATTTATTAGCAATGCAAAAATTGACATACTATGTGTAAATGAAACCAAACTCGACCCTTCAATCAATGATCGGGAGGTATATTTATCTGGCTATGAAATTGTTAGAAGGGACCGAAATGTAAATGGACGCAATGGTGGGGGTGTGTGCATTTATATTAGGTCTAACATAAACTACCAAGTTAGAGATGATTTGCATTCTGCAACTCTCGAAAATATGGTAGTGGAGATAAAAAAATCCCGCGATCTAAGTCTGTTTTAGTCAGTATTTGGTATAGACCCTCTGACTCACCAATGAGTCAATTTATTGAATTTGAAAAAATGATTGGGTCATTTGATGCCGAAAACCTGGAGTATTTTCTTTTGGGTGATCTAAATGTTGACCTTATTTCAACAACTGCATCACCAATAAAAAATAAATTAAAAGAGATATTAGATATTTACGGTATTAAACAATTGATTAATGAACCAACTAGAATTACGTCATCATCTAGAACCCTGATTGACTTATGTCTTATAAATACACTTTCTCATGTTGTAGATGCTGGAGTCTTATCCATGTCAATAAGCGATCATTCATTGATTTATGCAACTCGTAAGGGTCACTATGTACAAGGGGTACCAAAAACGGTACATATTAGGTTAATGAAGCAATTTAATAGAGAACACTATTTACGAGATCTTGAACAAAAAAATTGGCACAATGTTTATTGTTCTGCGGACCCTAATGTGATGTGGAAAATTAGGAAAGAAAACTTAATGAGCGCAATTGACAAACATGCACCATTGAGATCCAGGTGGGTTAAAAATCGGAAGTCCCCCAGGATAACAAAAGAATTAAGACAAAAGATACGACATCGTGATAGTTTAAAAAAGAAAGCGAATTTATCTAATGATCCTCAAATTTGGCAGCAATACAAACAGACTCGAAACCGAATAAACAATGAAATTAAGGAAGTTAAGCGAAATTATTTTACAAATGATCTTCATAAAGGTGACATGAAAAAAAACATGGAAATTAATTAACAAATTAAGTTCCAAAAATATTGGCAAAACAAATAGAGTGTCAGAATTACATTTTAATAATCAAGAAATAACGGCACCTATGGATATTGCTGAAGCTTTTAATGACTATTTTTCGAGTGTTGGTGACAACCTGGCTGCATCTATACCAACCCCTGACCATGATCCTTTTATCTTAAAGCAACGGATAAGACATTTTCATTGCAATCTCCTACCTTTGAAACTGTTTATAAATTCGTGAAATTGATGAGAAAAAGCTGCTGGGTTGGATAATATACCCAACAAATTATTGAAAATGGCTGCACAGTTTGTTGCACCTTCACTGACGGGAATATTTTCTGCATCAAAACGTACAGGAATATTCCCAAACGAATGGAAGGCAAGCAGGGTGACACCAATATTCAAAGGTGGTCCTAAGAGTAACCCAAGCAATTACCGACCAATTTCCATTATTCCTGCCATTGCAAAAATTTTTGAGAAAATGATTTCTGACCAATTATATGAATACCTAAACACAAATGAGATTTTAACTTCCTGCCCAATCTGGCTTTAGATCGCTACACAGTACGGTAACTGCAATGCTTGTCATGAAGCTACAAGTGACTGGTCCATGAATATTGACAATGGTTTAATCAATGGAGTAGTTTTTATTGATTTAAAAAAAGCTTTTGGCACTATCGATCACCAAATTATGTTACAAAAGCTAAGAAACTATGGTATTGATCAAATGAGTTTAACCTGGTTTGAATCTTATCTTACCAACCGAACTTGTTAACGACCAATTGTCAAATTCTGCCCCAGTGACTTGTGCTGTTCCCCAAGGTAGCAACCTGGGGCCCATACTTTTTCTGATCTATATAAATGACCTTCCGAATTGCTTGAATCATGCTATACCTAGAATGTTCGCTGATGAGAGGAGTATAAGTTATTCAGCAAACACAACAGGTGAGCTCCAAAATGTAATAAACTTTGAGTTAAAAAAGCTTAATAGCTGGCTTATTACTAATAGATTAAGTCTAAATATTGTTAAAACGGAGTTTATGGTAATAGGATCTCAGCAAAAGTTAAGGTCCATAGATAGCGAAATAAATATTAGAATCAACGAAAACGAAATAACTAGGGTTGAATCGGTGAAATCCTTGGGAGTTTATATTGATAAACATCTTACTTGGCATGATCATATTGATAAACTATGTAAGAAAGTTGCATCTGCTATTGGTGCACTAAAGCGTGTTAGATCGTTTATAACTATAGACGCGTCCATACAAATATACCAAGCGCACATTCAGCCTCATTTCGACTATTGCTGCACGGTATGGGATGGCCTTGGGGAAACACTCAGTACTAAATTACAAAAATTGCAAAACCAAGCAGCGAGAGTCATCAAGAGTTATGATACCGACGCAAGTGTATTATTAGATAGTCTGCGTTGGGATAACTTGTCATTAAGACGACAAAAACTTAAACTTGCAGGTCTTATGTTTAAAACACTTAAGAGTAATGCTCCCAGTTATTTACAAGAATTCTTTTCCATTCGCGGAACTGGGTATAACCTAAGAAATTCTGAAATGAGGCTGAACTTGCCTAAGCCACGAACAAATTACTTAAAACGAAGCTTTTGTTATAGTGGTGCACTACTGTGGAATAGCCTTCCTCAATAAATAAGAAAGCTTCAAATACAGGCTAAATTTAAAAAAGCTGTTAATAAGTATTTCGACGAATAAACGAGCCCCCACACGGCAATCTTGTAAACCAGTATTAGTATTAGTTTATTGTCTTTCTTGTAACTACTGTAGATTTTACCGTGTATAAATAAATTGTATAACAATAATAATAATAATAATAATAATAATAATAGTAGGCACCGTTCGGGCCGGATTTTTGTGGTGGTGGTGTGTGGTGGCGTGTGGTGGTGGTTCATCATCATTAACATACGTCATAATTATATGCATTGACATCACGAGGGCAAGCTTGAGCAAGATCGGATTAGCATAGACTTTACCGTGTATAAATAAATTGTATAACAATAATAATAATAATAATAATAATAATAATAGTAGGCACCGTTCGGGCCGGATTTTTGTGGTGGTGGTGTGTGGTGGCGTGTTAGTGGTGGTTCATCATCATTAACATACGTCATAATTATATGCATTGACGTCACAAAGGCAAGCTTGGGCAAGATCGGGTGAAACTTGCTGACTAGGCATTTTTTAGCGTCCCTCCACGTCTGTGATACAATAGAGGGATTAATGTTGGAATAGCGTAGCTACAAAATTTTCCAAACGTTTGATCCAAGCACAGTCAATGGACAACATAGATACAATTTTTGATGAGTTGAAACGAAATGAAATCGATAAGCAAACTTTATCGTTTCATATAAATACAATGATCACTAAACCTTGCACAAGTCTACAGAGAGATCAATGTTACAAACTTTGGTCGTGATTATTGCCTATTTAACTTTCGTTTGTTTACAAAATTTTCGTTTGTTTACAAAATAACAAAATGGTAGCGAGGAATCTATTCGTCACAAAGAGCAATGGTAATAAATATACCAAGCGAAGTAAGCACATGCACGCGTTACTACTATGCGTTGTTATGTTCGCTATTTGCATACACCTACGATCATTAGCGATAAGATGCGTACAATCAACTACAATGTACATCATAATAGGGATATTGAAGGATAATACCTGCGGCTATTATATAAGCGTTGACATAGAGCGCGGATATAAAATAGGCAAAAGCACATGATTTCATTTTTAGAACACTTTTAACTCTTTAAGTGCTACAATGTCAATAACTCTTGTCTGTATAAATATATTATCCACTTAAGAGTTTTGTCCCGTTTTTGTTTCTAACTTTAACCGCTCGTTTGAGCCATCATTCATTTCTGTATTGTCCACGTTCTTTGCAGATTTTGTATTTGATTTGGTTCTCTTCCTGGAGGATTTTGGTTGACGGATGGGTATATTCTTTATCCCGCTTTTATTCCACTTTGACTGCTTTTTACTGTTCCCAATTAATCTGTACAACTCTGTTAAAACATTTTCTAAGTCTAAAGCTGTTGGCTTAGCACGAATAAGATAAGGTTGTTGCCGCAGATGGGACAATCTCTACACTTCCGAGGCATAATATCAAATGACAAAGGTCAACTGATTTCCTAACATTAAATAGTTGTGGCCCCAAAGGCCTTTTTGAAGGTTTGTCGGGACTTGGGAGAGGGTTAGAGAAATGGGTTAGGGGAAAATAGCTACCACACAGGATCGTATTTTATTTTATTTTTACAAATCAAACAAAAACAACCATTAAGAGTCAATGTCACTAGGAGACCATGTGTTTCTGAAAAGTCTTTTCTAAAGAAATTTTCTCTTGACAATAGCGGCCTCTAACGCTTCCCTGCATGTGGTCGAAATTATCATCGTTGACAAAGATATCCCCTGGTTCCCATAATCTTTTTGTGTATTGGATCCCTCTTTAGTTGTCTTATCCATAGTAGACGTTCCAGATAAACATTCTGCAAATCTTTACGAAGTTTTGGTAGGATAAGTAAGTAATAAGTAAGTTTAGCTCCGTTTTCGTCAAAACCTTCTGCAGTGAAATTCTGCGTTAGTTCTTCGAATTCCAATAAACTTTGTTGGGCTGCTTCAGCTTTTAAAGGAGCCCATGGATCGCTTTCGTATTCATCACCTACTTCACTATTAGTATCATCTACATTATCAGAATCACTTTCTGACGCAGAATAAGTTTCCACTTCGTTGTCAGTGTTATACGAATTCTCAACATCACTCTATGATGTAGCACTGTATCAGAGTCGGCAACCGTTCTCATTCTTTTCATCTAGATCGGAAATATGTAGTAGATTTCCAACAGTACTGTATTTCCTTCCTATATTGTTATGCTGAAACAACTCCAACCACAACCAACCGGCGAATGATCAATTTTTTGAACAACATTACATTTATGAAGTGGCCTTAAGGGACTTTTCTATGGCCTTGTGTCACGATTGGTGATTGGCTGGGACACTTTCCACCAAGCCTCCCCACCAAGAGGCCAATGCGAAAAGTGGCCCCAAGGGCCTTATCTACGGCCTTGTGGCCCGATTGGCTGGGATACTTCCCACCAAGAGGGTTCTAGAGAATCGGGCCACAAGACCATAGAAAAGACCCTTGGCCTTAAGGGACTTTTCTATGGCCTTGTGTCACGATTGGTGATTGGCTGGGACACTTTCCACCAAGCCTCCCCACCAAGAGGCCAATGCGAAAAGTGGCCCCAAGGGCCTTATCTACGGCCTTGTGGCCCGATTGGCTGGGATACTTCCCACCAAGGGGGTTCTAGAGAATCGGGCCACAAGGCCATAGAAAAGTCCCTTAGGGCCACTTCATAAAATGTAATGTTGTTCAAAAAATTGATCATTCGCCAGTTGGTTGTGGCTGGAGTTGTTTCGACCTAACAATATACGAAGGAAATACAGTACTAAAAATTGCGGTTGCCATAGAGTATTTTAATAAAACACAAAACAATAGACACTCCGAAAATTGTAAACATTTTAATTCTTTACGTTTCGACTATAATTTAAGTCATCTTCAGAAGAATGCCACGTATTTCGAAATCGAAATACGTGGCATTCTTCTGAAGATGACTTAAATTATAGTCGAAACGTAAAGAATTAAAATGTTTACAATTTTCGGAGTGTCTATTGTTTTGTGTTTTATTAAAATACAGTACTGTTGGAAACCTACACTGCAAAAAATCCATTTTTCGCTTGAGTTATTTTAACACATAAATTTGCGTGGAATGCAATGTTTACTCAGTTTTAAGAGTATTTTTACTCGAATATGCTGAGTATAACTTCAAACTCAAACACCTGAGTAAACTATTTTGAGTAAACCACTATCGTTTACGCAGTTATAATCGGTAAAATTACTCATTTGAGTAAGTTGCTTCATATTTACTCGTTATTCTCGAGTAGAATCGATGTTTTACTCTAACATTGAGTTAATATGCCTTCCAGACTGATCGATTTACTCAAAGCTGAGTAAAGATGCGAATCTACTCAATGTGAGTAGAATGTACTGGTCACTCATGGTTCGAGTATTTTTACACCGGTAAATGTTGGAGTAAGAAATATCGAGTAAACACCACCAGCTACACAAATGTGATGAGTAAATTTACTCAAAGGGTAAATTTACTCAAAGACCGTACCAAACAGTTTCCTCAGTACTCAAAACTTGTGAGTAAATTGACTACAATACTCTTCAGGTGAGTCAACTCAGCATCGGACAAACCGGCTTTACTCACAAATAGCAGGGCAAATACCACCGATCAAACATCGGCAAGAAATTGCTCGGTGAATAAATATGATAGACGAAAGTCGGCAATAAGTCATGACTGCCGATCATCATGATCAGGAACTTTGGGAACGTTATTTCAAGTCCTGATTCCTGAACAGAGCAAACGTCATCTATATTCATCACACGATAACAACGTTGAACCATAGTTAATAAATAGAAAAACACGAGGTCATGCACAGTATATATTTCAGTGTTGTTTATTCTGTGATGTTATGCTGCGATCAAAAGACAAAACATACGCAGCGATAGTCTTGTCTTAATCCCCTGCTTTGTTTGCGTCTTGAAATGTGAAACGACATGACAGTGACGTAAATCATATCTGACGACGCGGTAAGTTCAAATTTCAGTGCCTCGTGCCTGCTTTGGTAGACATATATTATTCATCTGTACTGCGAGGAATTTCATGGCGAAAAGCATCAACTTCTTCTTCTTTTATATCAAAGATGGTAAATAGTGTAAGAGGCATGAAGACCTGGCTTACAGAGATGGGTTTGGGAGATTGTTGTCTCTCATTTGAAGGTATATTTGCAGATTTATTACATGTAGACGTTTGGACAAATAAACGGCAACTGAGTATGGTTTACCGCGCTTCATTCGCATTTGCTTCACTAGTTTAAACTTTGTCGCGTCATGATTGTCTACTTTAGAATTTTCGAAGCTTCCAACGGGCGTTTATAACAGAAACGAACTAAAGACGAAAAGCGCATTTGGCATCACAAAAAGCGTTAAGATTGAGCGCTGGTTAGCCGCTGTGGTATTGTGGCACAATGCGCGCCGCCCTCCATATGGACGTTTGCAGTTGTATGTTTGCCTAAATATAAGCTACATTGATTGATTATATTTTCTTTACTCACAACTCTACATGTTTACTTACGCTTAAGACAAATATTTGTATGTCTGTAACTGTATTTATGAGAAGGGAAAACGAATTTAACTACAGAAAATTCAAACAATTGGCAAGGTGTAATACGATACGTATGCATTGCCATTGCGCCTATTTAATGTCTGTGACAGACTGTCTGTGACAGACTGTCTGTGACACAGTCTATGTGCACATGTGTACTCTTTCTAAAGTTTAACGCCAGTAAACTACGTTTTATAAAATGCTTTCATGTTTCATATACTGCTAGATAAACAAAATTGCTGACCACGGTACTAGTGTAATTTATTTGCTAAGTAATCTAAAAGTCTATATATTGTTTGCGTGATTGAATTTGGCCCAACGCGCCAGTCACTTCCTTCAATTTGAGCTTGCAATCCGCCAATCCACAAGATAGAAGATTAAAGAAAATCATATAGAAAATAACTATTGTAAGAGCAATTAGTAATTAATAGACTACATTCATGCATGTACTCGATTAAATCATGTAGGCTATTGTCCTGAAAGCCTTTCAGCCCGTTCTTTGTTAATTAATATAGAAAACCAAATAGATGAAGATGAACTCTTTGCTTTAACAGAAAGAGAAGACGTTCAGGACGAACGTCTTATACTTGTGGTAGGTCATAAAATGAAATTTTTTGTAGGCTCTGTTGGGGGATTGTAAAAACAGGCTCTCGTCTTAGAGCCTGATCGCAGGCTAAATTCCATATTTAATTTAAAATTAAACTCCCAGCAAAATATACAAAAGGACTTGAGGTGAGTATTTTACATGTATTATCATTGTATTTTATTAATGTACTATACCTTAGAAAGGTTGGGGTGAGGCAAACCCTTCGGCTTTGACATTTTTCATCACATGAATCAACATTTTCAAATTAATATAATAAGGCACTTCAGTTCAGTATTTTTATGACTACAAACAAATACTGTAATGAATTTGTAAATTCGTTGTCCTCCCTGCCAAAGATGGCTGATGTTCTCCAGTTTCGAAGTTTGAACAACATATATGTCTATACTTTTGCACTCTGGTGTTGCTGTGCAAGTGTGGCGACAAGCCGCCTTTCGCCGGCACCCCTCTTTGGTGGCTGATTAACAAATTGGCCGCCTGATATTGGGGACTTGTATATAGACATATGTGTGCATGACATTAAAAAAATGAAAGATTTTTGGAAATGATTAATTAACCTGGCAATTTGAAAGAAATATATATTCTCCAGTTTCAAACAACATATATGTCTATACTTTTGCACTCTGGTGTTGCTGTGCAAGTGTGGCGACAAGCCGCCTTTCGCCGGCACCTCTCTTTGGTGGCTGATTAACAAATTGGCCGCCTGATATTGGGGACTTGTATATAGACATATGTGTGCATGACATTAAAAAAATGAAAGATTTTTGTAAATGATTAATTAACCTGGCAATTTGAAAGAATTATATATTCTCCAGTTTCGAACAACATATATGTCTATACTTTTGCACTCTGGTGTTGCTGTGCAAGTGTGGCGACAAGCCGCCTTTCGCCGGCACCCCTCTTTGGTGGCTGATTAACAAATTGGCCGCCTGATATTGGGGACTTGTATATAGACACATGTGTGCATGACATTAAAAAAATGAAAGATTTTTGTAAATGATAATTAACCTGGCAATTTGAAAGAATTATATAATATTCTCCAGTTTCGAACAACATATATGTCTATACTTTTGCACTCTGGTGTTGCTGTGCAAGTGTGGAGACAAGCCGCCTTTCGCCGGCACCCCTCTTTGGTGGCTGATTAACAAATTGGCCGCCTGATATTGGGGACTTGTATATAGACATATGTGTGCATGACATTAAAAAAATGAAAGATTTTTGGAAATGATTAATTTACCTGGCAATTTGAAAGATTTATATATTCTCCAGTTTAGAACAACATATATGTCTATACTTTTGCACTCTGGTGTTGCTGTGCAAGTGTGGCGACAAGCTGCCTTTCGCCGGCACCCCTCTTTGGTGGCTGATTAACAAATTGGCCGCCTGATATTGGGGACTTGTATATGGGCATATATGTGCATGACATTAAAAAAATGAAAGATTTTTGGAAATGATTAATTAATCTGGCAATTTGAAAGAAATATATATTCTCCAGTTTCGAACAACATATATGTCTATACTTTTGCACTCTGGTGTTGCTGTGCAAGTGTGGCGACAAGCTGCCTTTCGCCGGCACCCCTCTTTGGTGGCTGATTAACAAATTGGCCGCCTGATATTGGGGACTTGTATATGGGCATATATGTGCATGACATTAAAAAAATGAAAGATTTTTGGAAATGATTAATTAATCTGGCAATTTGAAAGAAATATATATTCTCCAGTTTCGAACAACATATATGTCTATACTTTTGCACTCTGGTGTTGCTGCGCAAGTGTGGCGACAAGCCGCCTTTCGCCGGCACCCCTCTTTGGTGGCTGATTAACAAATTGGCCGCCTGATATTGGGGACTTGTATATGGTCATATATGTGCATGACATTAAAAAAATGAAAGATTTTTGGAAATGATTAATTAACCTGGCAATTTGAAAGAATTATATATTCTCCAGTTTCAAACAACATATATGTCTATACTTTTGCACTCTGGTGTTGCTGTGCAAGTGTGGCGACAAGCCGCCTTTCGCCGGCACCCCTCTTTGGTGGCTGATTAACAAATTGGCCGCCTGATATTGGGGACTTGTATATGGGCATATATGTGCATGACATTAAAAAATGAAAGCTTTTTGGAAATGATTAATTAACCTGGCAATTTGAAAGAATTATATATTCTCCAGTTTTGAACAACATATATGTCTATACTTTTGCACTCTGCATGGTGTTGCTGTGCAAGTGTGGCGACAAGCCGCCTTTCGCCGGCACCCCTCTTTGGTGGCTGATTAACAAATTGGCCGCCTGATATTGCATGGGGACTTGTATATAGACATATGTGCACGACATTAAAAAAATGAAAGTTTTTTTGAAATGATTGATTAACCTGGCAATTTGAAAGAATTATATTCTCCAGTTTTGAGCAACATATATGTCTATACTTTTGCACTCTGGTGTTGCTGTGCGAGTGTGGCGAGAAGCCGCCTTTCGCCGGCACCCCTCTTTGGTGGCTGATTTGCATGGTGGGTGATTAATTGGGGACTACAGTTATTGACATATATGAATAATATAAAAATATTTAAGTGTTTTAGAAATGATTAGGTATAAAAACTCATATGAAACATTAACCTGGAAATTTGAAAGAATATTATTCAGTCTAACTCTTAAAGTGGCAGTGTGTATTTATTTTATTTATTATTTTATATTATACTATATTGTTTATTGTATATTATACTATATGTGGTTTTGGCATTTCCTTATACTCAAATAATAACCATGTGTAGTCCACTCTGCAATATTAATGTAGTCCATTCTGCAATATTAATTTCTAATTATATGTTCCTTCTATTTATGTAGGAAAGTTAAGATGTAGACAGTTTCGTGTCAAGCAAAGATCCAAAAGAATTGCTATTTCTTGTCTTGGTTGTCTGGCGACCGTTGAATGCAATTTTCCAAATCTTTATTGTCGCTGACTTGCTTACCAGTACTTTTTCGAGTTAAGACTTAAGGGTGGAATTGTGGAACTGATGGCATGAACTCACATTCTGATTTCGAGAGGAAGTCAATTAATGAAATTAGGAATGACATATACTAGTAATATGAACTGAATAAAATCTGAACTCAGTAGGAGAGGGCAATCTCTCTTGCACTGTATATACAGTAGGTATCGTATATAGCTCATTGCAGTATTTGCATCGGTTTGGTTCGAATGTTGCATCTTTACTCTGAACGGAGTGCATGCGTACAACCATGCATGTATTGTAGGTCAAAATCACTTTGTTTGTTACTAACTGTATATGCTAATATAATTTGTTCTATATATTGGTAAAATATATTATTTTCACAGACACAGTTGTGTTGAAATGACTATATAGTATCTGACTTTAT